GGAAGAAATTTGGTGCCGGGCGGAACTGCTCGCTTCCAGCAAAGAGAGACATAGTGTTTCCCCACGCTTAGACCCCGAGAACCTAGGATGTAGCGCCTCATCCCCCGCGGCATCCCCCTGCTGTTTCCCAGCTTCAACCTCTAAAGGATGTAGTTCCTCATCTTTAAGTTGTTTCGCCCGATTGCACCTGATGGCGCATGTGATTTGTTCCTCTGTTAGTCCACGTTCAATCTCTTACATGATACGGCGGTTCTATCTCTTTGTTTTTCTGTTTGATTCATGACTCTCTCTCTCTCTCTCTCTCCCTCTCTTTTTGATTATGGCTCTCTTTATGGTTTTCATTTTGTCTTTCCTTATTCATTGATTGCCTTCCTTCTTTCCGTCTCTTCCTTCCTTCTTCCTTCCTTCCTTCCTTCCTTCTTTTGTGCTTATTTCTCTGATTGGCTGTTTGTTTTTGCCTGGCTATTTGTTTCTTTGTTCCTTTTTTTTCTCGTTTTTTGTTGGCTTCTTTGTGTCTTTGTTTGGTTGTTTTGCTAGTTCCTTGTTAGCTTCTTTGTTTCTTTTTGCTCTTTTTGTCTGCCTGCTTGGCCTGCTTGGCTTGCTTTGCCTTGCTTTTTGTTGCCTTCGGCTTCTTCCCATGTTCCTCACTCGCTTGGGTGATGGGAACCGTTCCCTGCTCAGCGTCTTCCCCCATTTTCCCCACTCGCCTGGGCGCGGTTTTGCTTGTCAAACCGCAGGAAGGCGTGGGCGGACTGGCCGGGGGCTTCACGGGGTTTTTGGCCAACACCGGGGACCTCTGGAAGTGCATCGACGGCCTGCCGCATCAGTACTCCCTCTCCTACATGATGTCCCCAGCACTGTTCTGGCACCTGTTTTCCTTTTTTTGTTGGTCTACTTTTTTTGCGACCGGTTCGGACCCAACAGATTTTCGCACCTGTTCTGGTACTTTTCTTTGCGACCAGTTCAATTGGAGGTTCGGAACCCGCACCTGTTGCGTCCGGCAAATCGGAACCATAGATTTCGCTGGGCGTTTTGCACATCTTTTCTTGGGCCGTGCCTTACAAGATCCTCAAGCCCATAAATTCACCGGCCCCCGCAAACACGTTTTTCTTGTCACAGCTACACTGGGGATATTCAGCCTGTTGGTTTAGGTGACGCTTTATGCTTGCAAGCACAGCAAATCAATGAGTTGAGGTAGGAGGTGCCGTTAGCTGTGCGATCCGTTTGGGAGATTTCCTGGCAAGCCCGATTCGAAGGCGCTGGGCTTGTCTTAAATGCCAGGTGCCTGGATGGTTTTGGATGCGGATCGCCTTCGTCGGCTTGTTTTTGCTCTTCCCAATTCGCGAAAGCCAAGGTTCACAAGAGGCCACTCAGGGTTTTCGGGACTTGCGAAAGTTACTCGCCGAACAAAGAACACAAGATCCCCTCCCACCAACTAACATGGGTTTGTGCAAAAGGACCCTTTCCATCAGGGGAGTAGTCTTTCTACGGGGGTCTGTGCACTTCCATGTTAGCTGGTGGGAGGGTAGACATCCATTTGCTTAATGTTTGATTTTCCCCTCCTGGTTTGATTTCACTACTGGCAATGGAAGAAGTCGTAGATTTGTTTGCTTCGGCAAAGCCCGAGGGCCTGGTCGTGCAAAGGGCAAAGGACTCGGGTTGCGTTGCTTTCTTTCAACGTGGAGATGCGTAGTCCGTTGGCTTTGAGCAGTTTTTGGGGAGACGAACGTGCCTTACAAATCCAAGCCTATGACCATTTGAGGGTGAATCCCAAAATTTGGGACCTCTGCAACTCAGATCCAAGTTGAGCAAGCCAGATGAATTAAGATAGATTGGTTGAACAAATCCCTCCAATTGGCGACGTGTCCATTTGGCGCTTCAGCACATGCCTGAAAGCCACATGACCACTCCGGGGCTCCCAACCTCAATGACCAAGCCATTTTCGGGGACATTTCTATTTCTCTCTGGATTTGAGTTTCAGGATCACTTGATGTGTCTTTTCTATGGGCAACCAACAGCAAAGCCGCGGGTGTGTTTCTGGTCCCAAATTTTCAGATGGTTTCTAAGGCTCAAAGTACCCCTGGTTCATACTTAGTTCATACCTGTTCCTTAGCTTCCGTGGCTTCCAAGCCACTGTACAAGGGGTACCTTTTCTGGGGAGAGGATATGAACATCAGGCCTCTCGGTTCATTTGTCCACGGGGTACCTTTCGCACTCTGGAGCTTGGGCAGGAACAAAGATCTCTCACTATTCCCAACTGAAAATGAGGGAAGCAAAGGACCCTCAAGGGTTTTCGCTTGTTCTGCTTGTTTTGTTTCAAGTGAGATTGATATATATATATATATACATGGTTGTTGTTGGGAAACATTTTGTATTTGCGCTGAGTGTGGTTTAGTGGTTAAAATCCAAATCCACTGAACTGCTAAAATTCAAATTTCTGCTCCCCTTCCAACGTCAACCAAGTGCAATATAGTATGTGCCTTGGCCCTGGATGGTTCTGTCGGGCCTCAGGTCGATCGCCTCGAAGCCCGGAGAGTTGCCCAAGAACCTCTGGCGGACCTACGTGAGCCTCGGAAGCGGCGAGCTGCGCGCGGTTTGTGTCTGATTCTTGCCTTGCTCTTCCAGGACCCTGGAAAAGCAGGCCTCTGGACGCATTTCCATTTGGAGCCAAGAGCAAAATCAAGAAGGACCCTGGTTTTCCGGGTCCTTGGAAGACCAAGGTTGGCTTTGCTGCGTTTAGTCATGTCTTTTGCTGAAGGACTTGTTGATGTGTTTACTTCCCCGGGTCGCTCAAACGGCAAACAACATATATATATATATATATATATATATATGTAAACATAAATATATGCATACACACATATATATATATGTGTATATATATATATATAAAGCCAGCCACGGCAGAAACATACAAAATACCACTTTATCAAGAGGGGGTGAATTGCATGTCCGAACTGGCCCTGTAGACCCCCCAAAACCGATAACTCTCGAGCTGTGATTTTTCGAGCTGGAGCTGCTGAAGTGTGCATCGCGTACTGGACTCGTATTACAAAGCTGCGGCTTTTCGAGCTGGAGCTGCGAAAGCGTACTTCGCGTACTAGATTCCCTCTACTCCAAGTATATAACCAGGGTTCTTCGTGGGAAAACCCCGCTTTGATCAAAAGCATACAAATGCACGGATTTTGTATGGAGTTTTTTACGGGCTTGATATGGTGTGTGTACGGTTTTGAGAAGGAAAACCAAGCGCGAGGGTGGACAATTGGTTCGTTTTGCTCTCGTGACTCGGATATGGGAGCAGCCTAGTCCATGCAACAACTTTGCATGAATTCTTGTCAAGGAGTGGAAGGGTGCCAAAGACCACCTGGTTGGGGCAGATGCACGCCGTGGGTAGAGATTCTAATTGTGGATTCGGTTGACCTGACAGGCTCTATGTTCATTGGTGGAAGGGTATACGGAATGTCCGTCCCGCAGCTAGTTTGAAGAGTGTTCCCGCCGTGAAGTTTCACAGCTACAGAGGAAACTCACCGGTTTTTGTCAGGTGTTAGACAGACAGCCTAAGGAGACGGCCGCTTTTCTTTATGGCTTTAGCGACCACCAAAGCAAGAACTCACAGCCCTGTTTGTGGGCTTCCCTTTTGAGAGCAACGCACATCCCATCTGCCAAGCATTTGCCAGTTCTCACGAAGCCACCGCGGAATTTCGCTAGAGACCCCAGACCCAGATTTTATGGCTTTAGAGACAACCAAGCAACAAACAGGTTTTTCGCGGGCCCCACGATGGGAAGTGCAGCGCTGCCAAGCGCGTACGGTTTGGGTTGGGGACAAGCCCGAAGAAATCCGTATGCATGGTTGTTGCTGGGAAACATTATTAAAACAGACAAAAAAACACATTTTTGCTTGTTGTGGCTGAGTGGTTGAAATCCAACCACTTAACTGCTACAATTCAAATTTCTGCCGTTTCGGCTCGAGAAGCGGCGCTCGTGTTCCCGAGGAAGCCAGCCTTCACCAGCATCGAGGTCTGGGCCGGCGTGAGCGTGCGGGAGGTGATGCACGGCACTCGGGAGGTCTTGGTGAACGTGGCTTGGCGCAGAGGTGAGGTGAGCCCCGTCCCATTATTGGGGGGGTGTTCCCTCGAAAAGTGATGAATCCCCACTAAAAAGGGATACCCCCTATTAATTAATCAGGGGTTTATTAATTCTGGGTCAACATTAGCAGGGGGTCCCAACCATAAATGGTTGCAGCCGCCTTCTTAGCTCCTGACCAGGTTGTGGGTAGGCCTTTTTTCCTTCCCAACCTTACAGTCGGAATATCCCTTTGGAGACCCCCTGCAACCCAGGTTGCCCATCCGGCTGTGTTATTGTTTTTCAGGTTGGAACCCCCAAACTCCTGGCTGTCCTTTTGATTTTTCCACAACACCAACCCCAAAAAGGGTACCATTAAACAGACACCCACATGGTTTGTTTTGGCTCATGGTACAAATTACAGGAGTGTAGTTGGTGGTAATGCGCAGATGCCTTTTTCTTTTTCACGCTAGACGGGGCTTTCCTATGGTTTGGATTGATGTGGGGATTCACCCCCTGGTGCTTGAGTAAAAGGGAAGACACCCCTCACCAATCCCAACCACTAGTTCCAAGGGTGGAGAGCCCCTGAAGCTTGTTTCCTTTTTCATTTGTGTGTTTTCCGGACTGGGGTCCTTGTTTGTCTGCAGGGAACTATGGGATGTTTTGCGGTTGCCGTTGTTTGAGTCTTTCGATCTTGGAATCCATCGTGTTCTGTGGGTGGTGTCTCGCTTTTGGATATGTGCCCACGATATCCAACGAGAAGTGTTCTTGCTGGCGCGATAGGAATGAGAAATGGAACGACCCCTATGAACCATCCAACTGGTGGTTCCTTGAAGGGCCCCCCACCGGTTCATTCCATTTCTCATTCCCTACTTCATGGTTGTTGTTGGGAAACATTTGAAACATTTTTGCTTATTGTGGTTTAGTGGTTGAAATCCAAATCCACTTAACTGCTAAAACTTTATGTTTTTTGCTTTTTCCCCTTCAAAATCTATTTTTTTGCTGCCCTAACCCAACGTCAACCAAGACTTCTCGCACCACTCCGACTGCTTTGGGCACCGTGGCTGAACGGAGCCATTCGTTTGGGCTCCGCAGCTCGTTTGGCTCGGCTGCGTCGTTTTGTTTAGACTCCCAAAATGGGTTTCGGATTGCCGCGGGCCGCGGGGTTTCCGTTAAAACCAAGAAAAGCAGGGGGACCCTCAAGAAAAGGCTCAGAGCATGTTGGGTTTTGGTCAGAAAATATGAATTGTATGTAAGGTTGACTAATATGAAGCCGATTCAGCGTATTTGCACCCCAGAGTTGCGGTTCCTTTCTTGGTTTCGGCTTTCTCCTTTTAAAGCGTGCTGTTTTGGAGGATACCTATTTGGTTTGCTTTGCATCTTTGCAGCGAAACCAAACTTGTTGAGTCTGAGCATTTGTTGTCTTTCTTTTGTTAACCTTTGTAATCTCATCGCTAATATGGATTTAGCCTGTACTTGAATGGAAACCGCTTTCGAGGCTTCCCCAGCCAGAAACCGATGAGCCGCCTCTTTCCCGCTCAGATGGGGCCTTCTGACGACCAGCGCAAGTGCGTGACCGTGCACGCGGGGTCCCTCAAATGCGCTCCAACGGCAGCCGAGAAAGGAGAAGCAGGCGGATGGGACATGGGCCCTTCGTCGGTAGCAAAAACTCGGGTGCCCAAAGCGAATGGACCTGATCTAACCTTTTGGTTTTCTTAATTCGGTCCACGTTTAGTCATGACATCAAAAGGTTAACCTTTTAACTTCCCCAGAATTAGCTCCCCCTTTTTTTTGCCTTTTTGGGGTCCCTTTGTTTTCCACTAACCAGGCAAAAAAGATAAAAAGCTGCTGGGGTCCTAATTCCAGCCTAGTTAAATTTCTGTCCTTTGGGCAGCTGAGAAAAGGGAGCCCGGAAATTTTGGGATTGACAATGGCTAGTGGCTGCTTCACCAAACGAACCGGGTTGCGGAAAGTCACAAATGGGTTTGTCTTTGTTGTTGTCAAAGTTTCCCCTGTGGTTTAAAGGGAAACCCAACGGGGTAGAAAAAAAACACATGTTCGTCACATTGGGTGCCCCTGTTTTGAATAACATAGGCGCATGGGACATGGGAGCTTTCGGGGATGCCCTTATTTTCCTGACTTAGGACCGAGTACAGCTCAAACTGCTTGTGAGACCCGTGGCTTGCGTCCCTTTGGTTGGGATACACATGGAGGTGGAGGGGGTGTGCTGGGACCCAATCAAGGGATCCCATGTTTCCATGTTTTTCCCCATGTGGATGAACGTAACGTCCAGAGATTTTCCTTGGCTTCGAAAAGATCAGAGGGAAGCTCGCAACGGCCCGAAGCTCAGCTACACGCAATGCGAGTCCGGGTTGCGAGTCCGAGTTGGGAGTTGCCAGGCAGTCGCTGGAAGGGCAAGGAGGGCGAAGGCAGCTTTGAGACCTGGCACAACACGGTTGTTGGGAACATTCTTCCCATTTTTGTTTTTTGTGGTTTAGTGGTTGAAATCCAACCACTGAAAACTGCTTAAACAAAGGTGTTTGCTCCCCTTCCAACGTCAACCAACACGAGGGTTTGCTGGTTTGATTGGGAATGAGTTGGCAAGCCGTGACTCATGTTTATTCCATGCATGGCAAGTGGTCACATGGTTCTGGGTTTCCGGGAATGAGCTGGAACGACCCAACTGAATTCCTAGGGCATGCCACGTGTGTCCATTCCCAAAGGCTCGTTTTCCCTCCGGCGAGCGGGGGCAAAGCCTTGATTGGTTTCACCAAAGTAGTTATGTAATTTTAAGGGTTCTCACTCGATTCCAGGGTTGCTTCCCTGGAACCCATTCAGCACCCAGCTGGATTTTAGGGCGGCCCTTAGATCTGAAGGGCTTCGAGTACAGAGGGTGGCGGCGAGTCACTTCCCCAAGTTTCCTGAGACTTGTTTAGGTAGGGCAGATCACATGTTGATAATGCGGCGTGCTAAAAGCCTGAGGCATCGTCGGCTAGACCGGGATGTAGAAACATCGAGACGTACAGCTCTCCGCAGCAGACAGATGAGGGCCCCCGCACCATTCGTCCCTTCCGGTTGCTTTTAACGTCACCCTTTGGGACAATTCAAAGTGAGGTTCCTTCTGGTTTGGTGTTGATTCAGGGGGGAAAATGAGACGTGGTCAACACCATCATGACATAATTGTAGGAACACATCATGTTTGGACGCATGGCAAACAACATTGCGTTGTACCCCTGCAACATACGAACCCCAGATTAACGGACAAAGGCATGAATACAACTTGTTCGAGTTGCCCCATCCATGCTCGCTTCTCCACCAACGGAGTTCTGAGATTGACGCAGGCGTGCGCTCTGTGGTTCGACCGAAACATCGTGTGTCAGATTACCTGTTTAACCTTTTGGGGAAGGATTATTTCTCCACCAATGGGAAGACTGGGCAGCTGGAGTGGGAAATCACCCCCGACTCTTTGGGGCAAACTCTAGAGAGCTTTGAGGGCGGGACACGACTGGCTTGCCAGCAAGTCCCCCAATATTGGATGCATTCCTTGCAAGAGATATGGACCGGACCCCCAAATGTGTCTCTTTTGCTGTCCCTCCCTCCCTGAGAGGGCACCAACTGAAAGGTCCTGACTTTAGATGGTCCGGGTCAACCAAAACGGGTTCCCTTTCTAAAGTCAGCGATTGCAACCAGGGTTGGCCAAATCCCCCTATTGAAACATATCTGAAATCCGCCTTTGGTTTAAGCCAGCAGCCTTCAAAGGTCAGGGTCTTAAGTCTTGAGCCCCACCCGGACTCAGGACTCCTGAAAACAATCTCCTGAAACATCTCCGCAAGACCAAGATAAAGAAACAGCTGGTCTAAGAAGTGATGTTTCTGGCTAAGGCAAATCTGGGTTTGTCTCAAACAGAACCCACAAAATGGGCTTTGGTTTCCTTTCAAGACAACCCACACTTTTCTGCTCAATAAGATATACACTATAGAGGGGTTCTCAAACTGGCGATATTTGGGTGGCTTTTTGCAGAGCACCGGGAAACAAGACATTCTGGTGGACCACATGTAAAAAATAGACAACATGTGAGAACCCCCCCCCATTTTGATGTGGGAATGTCTTCAGGATTCGGACGCGAGCATGTGGTTCTTTTTGTTTCCGTTCGTCCTGTTGGTTTCCCTTTATTTAACCCACAAAAACCTAGGGGTTCTCTCTCCAAAGAACGAAATGCCGGGAAATGCCGGGGCCATCACCGGGAGTCTCCAGGACCCTTAAAAAATGGGCCCATGCCCCCATCGTTTTGGGCAATTGTTTATCTCCAGTACCCTTTAAAAATGGGCCCATGCCCCCATCGTTTTGGGCAATGACCCCATTTGTTTATCTCCAGTACCCTTAAAAAATGGGCCCATGCCCCCATCGTTTTGGGCAATGACCCCATTTTTTTTAATCTCCAGTACCCTTTAAAAATGGGCCCATGCCCCCATCGTTTTGCGCAATGACCCCATGTTTTATCTCCAGTACCCTTTAAAAATGGGCCGCTCATGCCCCCATCGTGTTGCACAATGACCCCATTTGTTTATCTCCAGTACCCTTTAAAATGGGCCCATGCCCCCATCGTTTTGGGCAATGACCCCATTTGTTTATCTCCAGTACCCTTTAAACATGGGCCCATGCCCCCATCGTTTTGGGCAATGACCCCATTTTTTTTATCTCCAGTACCCTTAAAAAATTGGCCCATGCCCCCATCGTTTTGCGCAATGACCCCATGTTTTATCTCCAGTACCCTTTAAAAATGGGCCGCCCATGCCCCCATCGTGTTGCACAATGACCCCATTTGTTTATCTCCAGTACCCTTTAAAATGGGCCCATGCCCCCATCGTTTTGGGCAATGACCCCATTTGTTTATCTCCAGTACCCTTCAAAATTGGGCCCATGCCCTCCATGCCCCCATCGTTTTGGGCAATGACCCCATTTGTTTATCTCCAGTACCCTTTAACAATGGGCCCATGCCCCCATCGTTTTGGGCAATGACCCCATGTTGTTTAAATCTCTAGTACCCTTTAAAAATGGGCCCATGCCCCCATCGTTTGGGCAATGACCCCATTTGTTTATCTCCAGTACCCTTTAAAAATGGGCCCATGCCCCCATCGTTTTGGGCAATGCCCCCATTTGTTTATCTCCAGTACCCTTAAAAAATGGGCCCATGCCCCCATCGTTTTGGGCAATGACCCCATTTTTTTTTTATCTCCAGTACCCTTTAAAAATGGGCCCATGCCCCCATCGTTTTGCGCAATGACCCCATTTGTTTATCTCCAGTACCCTTTAAAAATGGGCCGCCCATGCCCCCATCGTTTTGCGCAATGACCCCATTTGTTTATCTCCAGTACCCTTTAAAAATGGGCCGCCCATGCCCCCATCGTGTTGCGCAATGACCCCATTTGTTTATCTCCAGTACCCTTTAAAAATGGGCCCGCCCCCATCGTTTTGGGCAATGACCTCATTTTTTTTTATCTCCGGTACCCTTAAAAAATGGGCCCATGCCCCCATCGTTTTGGGCAATGACCCCATGTTTTATCTCCCTTTAAACATGGGCCCATGCCCCCATCGTTTTGGGCAATGACCCCATGTTTTATCTCCAGTACCCTTTAAACATGGGCCCATGCCCCCATCGTTTTGAACAATAACCTCATTTTTTTTAATCTCCAGTACCCTTTAACAATGGGCCCATGGTCCCAGCGTTTTGGGCAATGACCGTTTTTATTATTATTATTATTATTATTATTATTATTATTATTATTATTATTATTATTATTATCTCCAGTACCCTTTAAAAATGGGCCCATGCCCCCATCGTTTTGCGCAATGTCCCCATGTTTTATCTCCAGTATCCTTTAAAAATGGGCCCATGCCCCCATCGTTTTGGGCAATGACCCCATTTTTTATCTCCAGTACCCTTCAAAAATGGGCCCATGCCCCCATCATTTTGCGCAATGACCCCATTTGTTTAAGGGGATTATTTACGGGAGTCTCCAGGTCCAGTGGCCCCATTGGAGGGTCAGAAGTGAGACAGGCAGACGGTTCTCGCTCAGGAGGTGACCTTCGAGGGGGAAGAGGTGTGCGCCTCCCGCACAGACGGGGCCAAGTGGGACTTCGACCTGGGCTTCACCTGCAAGGCGCGGCCGAAAGCGTCGGATGGGCGAGGGGCGGTTTTGGTTTTCTGGGTGGCTAGGGGTGAAAAGAAAAAAACAGGGAACATCCGATTCAATCCAACCACTAAAATAGGTTCTAAAATGGGTGAATTCGCCAATCCCAACCAAAATGGGATCCCAAAACGGTTTCGAAGCATGGCCAGGTGACTCCCAGTCCGGTTGCGAAGCTGCTTTTGGGCTTAGGGCTACCTGGAGTCTCCAGGACCCTGAAAAGGAAGGGCCAGTACCCAAAATGGGGTCATGGACCCATTTTTGAGTCGGGTCATGGAGACTCCAGGGAGTGGTTTGGTTTGCATGTATTTCACTAGTTCAACTTATAGCAGGGGATCTGAGGACCTTGGTTTTGTTTTTTGGACGAGTTGAGCCAAAAGTAAGAAAAGTAGGAAGCCCCTTACACACAACCCCCATTTTTCTTCAACAGCTGAAGGCTTCTGGATCGGCAGGCCCAAATAGGTTTGGGGGGTGGGGCAGCGTTCAAGGAAGGTTCCGGAGATTCGGTTCTTTCAGGTTCCGGGGCTGTCGGGAATGCCGTTGTTTGGTGGTTTCTGGGACACAAGGAGCAAGGAACACCATTGGTAGAAAAAGAAAAAAAAAAACGTATGGACTCCCTCTTTTTTTTGGGGGGGAATGAGTACAGTACCTTTTTTTTGGTGGCTTTGAAAGGCTCCCCTATGAGACATACTCGGCATCAAAGGGCTGGTTCCTAGAAAATTTAGACAACGATCGCTCCTCTTTCAGGAACCATCACGGCCATAAGGCGCTTTCACGTAAGGAGATCCAAGCTTTGGTTTACTTCTGACTCCATAAAATGGGTTCTCTGTGTTATGAGGCATACGCCTCTTCTTGGGTTGTCTCAAAATACCAGAAACCAATTCCAACATGGGCGGTCGCCCCTTTAAATCGACCACAACACATGAGCTGGGCCCATTTTGGGATGATGGGATGCATCCGGCTTTCAAGGTTTTCCAGAATCCCAAGGTCCGAAGGGGCCGAAGCCTTTTCGATGAGACCCAACCTCAAGTTGCCAATTCACCGATGAGACGGGCCAGGCCCTGAAGCGAGAAAAACAACTGTTGGGGGGGAAGAGTGAAGCGAAGGCAAAGAGAACGCTCTGTGTACCTAGAGTCTCCATGGCCCCTAGAAAAAGGGGTCAAAACCCCCTTTTATTTTGGGTAATGGCCGCATTTTTAAAAAGGGTCATGGAGACACCAGGTAGGGTTTCTCGCAGGGCGCAACATGTTCGACTATTCCAAGAGACTCTTAAGCCAATCGATGTCCCCAACCGAGGACCCCTAGGTGGAAGTCTGGTGGGGTAACCAACCAATAGAACCCAATCAGGACGGGAACTCGGAGTGGCAGAATGAGTCGCACCCTTTTCAACGCGGTGTCAAGAGAGCAAAATGAAAGCTGGAGGTCTTCCTAGTTGTGACTTAAGAAGTCAGGTTGAGACATTGTCAACTACCCAGACCGCTTGCGCAATTTTGAATTGAGTTTCCTTTTGTTGGGGTTACTCCCCAGATAAACACCAACAAGCATGTGTAAATTCCAGATGAATATTCGTTTGCTTGACCCCCTCATGAGTGTAAATCTGTGGGGGAGTCTGTTTGAGGGTGAAGCATATGGCAAGAAACAACCTCAGGACGAGTACAAGGAGTACGTCATACCTATTGGGCCAATTGAGCTGCGCGGCGAATTAGCCGATGGACTGGTTGCCGGGCTTGGGGTAGCGAGTCGCTCGGGCGAAACTCCAATGCGCTGGCAAAGAGTTGGGACGTGTTTGTCCAATCCACTCAGGGGAGCCTTAACACTCGGTCCCTTACTTTTTCACAATTCCTCGTCAGAATTTGAGAATGAGATTCACTCACTATCCAAATGTGAGTTTCGGGAGCATTGACGTGGCACCATCCAGAGGCACATCTGCTCACTTCCAGAGGTGGACTTGAACAACCTTTTGAGAAGACCGGATGTTAGTGGCAAGCAAGAGTTGTCATATGCTGTTTGTTTCACTCCACTCAGGAAGTGAGGGGGGTTCGTAAGGTTGAAGCATGTCGCAAAAAAGACAACAAATTCTGACTCAGAAACAAAAGAACAGAAATAAACAGAAGAAACAAAAAGACAGAAACAAAAAACAGAAAGCACCCAGTCTGAGACTGATGCACATATTCCAGCTTTTTGACCGTTAAACCTTCCATGTTACAGTGTTCCCCATTCTTAAAAAATGACCCGCCAAAGGACACTTACTTTGACTCGGCCCAGGTGATGTCTAAACCCAACTTGGAAACATAGGGAGCATTGTGTTGAACAGGAGCATATATGGTTGTTGTTGGGAAACATTTTACATTTTTGCTTATTGTGGTTTAGTGGTTGAAATCCAACCACTTAACTGCTAAAAAAAGTCAAGTTGTTTGCTTTTTCCCCTTCCAACGTCAACCAAGCATTGCAGCATACCCACCTTTTTCTGTTTGCATTTCCCGAGCTGAGGGAAGACGAGGGGGAGCCCAACAAGAAGTGCGTCACGGTGGACGCGGAGGATTTGTTCTGTCACCCAGATGCCGCCAATGCGGAGCCTCGATAAGACAGCCAGCGGGCATCTCCTAAGGCTATGGGTCAAGATGTCGCTGCACAAAGTCCGTTTCGCCCCATGTAGGCGGCTTATCCCCAGCTAGGTCCCCCAGTAGTGCCCTTTCTCTTCCCTTTTTTGGGGGAGGGCTCCCCTACTAAAATAGACTACAGAAGGAGTTGGTACCCTTATTCTAACCTCTCTGCAGGGTTTCATCCATCCCTTGTGCAGGGTTTCAGTCTGTTAGACCATCATGAGATGATTGTTTTTTTGGCGGCTGATGTTGAAAAGGGGGCATATGGGGAACCGTGAGACCCTCAGCTTGCTTTGCTTCGGGAACTTGTTGGTCTGGCTTGCTAGGCATGATTTCACATGTTTACGCCAAGGATCTTAGAGAAGAGTTGATGCTCTCATGATGAAGGATACACGGTTGCCACCTTTAGAATGTTGACCGGATTTGCCTTGGATCACCTTCAAACAATGAATTCGTCCGAGAGGGCTAAGCATCGCTCCATCTTCAGCCAACAAATTCGGGTTGCTCCCCTGCAAATCAATATAAAACCCAAAATGGGGGTCTGCCAAAGGAGCTTTTCAGAAATGAAACTGCAGTGCTTTGCAGCTGCTGGCTGTGTTTTGTGTGACTGCTCACCATACCATTAGAAGCTGGAGGTTACTCACCAGATTCGGCTCGCAATGAATATTGACCGCTGAACAAAAGAAAGCTTTTTGATTATTGACTGTCCCTACTAATTTTCAACCCCTCAGATTTCCGTTTGCCTACACGCGTCACCGAAAACGTTGGAATGTATAAGACCCTTCGATTTGGTCATGAAAGCGCCTTCTTTGTCGAACTTTCCTAGTCGGATGGATTGGGATGGGCCCACCATGCACTTTGAACAGCCTCCCTATAGAATCCCGCGGAAAAACATAACTCTATACTGGGGAGCACCTCAAATTTTTCATGGTCAGACAGGACCTCTCACACAAACCATGAATGTTGCCACGTTCTGCTCCTGGACCATGATATGTCCAAATGTATGCTGAGGCGGGGCAGCAATTTGCTTGCTCCCATGGATCGATCGGCCATGCCAGTAGCGTGTCGTTTCCGCCCAGTGGCCCCAGCATTTCCATCACTTTGAGCGATCCTTCGGCCTTTTGGATCGAAAGGCGGCACCTAAGTTGGGTCTTTGAGGCTACTCTGCTTGGGCGTCTGGGGGAAGCCGCACATGTTGGGTCCCACTTGGAGCATGGTTCAGAGGGCGCACGGATTCTAAACGGATTCTATACGTGCAAAGGATAAGCAGGTCGCGTCTCATCCTAGAACCTCGTTTAACGTGTTAGACCCCCTTTATGTAGAAAACAGTTTGGGTGTGCGTTTTGTGGACTTGCCTCCGGTGTTTCCCCCGTGGTTCGCCATTCAACGTGGTGTTAGAACCCATTTGAGTCACAATCCAAACCCGGGTAAGTGAAGGTTAGCAAGGGACGATCCCAACAAGAAATAGCTGCGGATATCCGCCTTCTCAATTCTTGAAGCATGGTTCTGGGATTACGACCATTTTACTACCGGGTTTTGGTTATGACTCATTTGTTGCGGGTTAGACCCCAGAGTCACCTCACTCTCAGTGACGTCGCTCTGATCCCCAGGGTCACCGCATCAACACGGAGATCACTGCTGAGGGCACCTACTCTGTGTCCACCTCCGGCGGCTCGGCGTTGGGGGAAAAAATGACGATGGGACCTCCACCCCGGGAACGTCGTTGTTGGGATTTTGTTTGTTGCATTTTTGTGTATGGTGGCTTAGTGGTGGCAATCCAAGGCTAAAATGTTGGGAAACATTTTGACATTGTTGTTTATTGTGGTTTAGTGGTGGCAATCCAAGGCTGAAATTTGAAACTTTTGCTGCCTTTCCAACGTCAACCAAGTTAATGGAACTGGAGGGGTGGAATTCCGTTTATGGGGAGTACTAGAAAATGACATTGGGGGAGGCGGGAGAAAACGATCCCTGGAGATGGTGACCCATGTCCTTTTAGGGAATACTTGAAAATGGAATTGGGGGACCGGATACCCGCCCTCCTCCCCCTTATGGTAGGGGGGATGACAATGTTGCGACTTTTGGGATCCTGGTGAGTTGCTAGGTCAACTCGATTAAACAAAACTCGCTGGTGACGGGAGCCAAGGAGCTACCATTTGAAAGGATAAGTAGGAAAGGTAAGGAAACAATTAATAATTTTAAAGCAAAAGGGCAACAACAAGGGAAACGAGAGGCCTAACAAGGCTGATGCCGCCATTGCGTACTTCATTCGGAGTCTCTTTGAGACATTTGAAACATATCTGCCTATAACATAGGAGGCATGACGCCGTGTTTCAAGCATCGAGATCCCAGGAACGTCCCGAGGGGTTTTGCTCCAAGCGCCTCAAGCCTCTTCAAACTGCCAAGCGCCTCTTAGCCCCAAGCCCGAAGCTTAGCAAGGCGTTCAGGAGATCGCCTCTTGAAGAGGAGTTATCAAAGGCAGCCAACAGCTCTTTTCCTATTGGCTTGATGAATCAAAAACGGCAGAAAAGAAATCCCCATGTCCAGCTGCAAACTATGTTCATGGAATTCATCCTCGGTTAGGCCATGCAAAGCCAGTTGGCGTGTCTGGTCAAGGATGGGGTTGGAGCTTCCTTTTCCATCGGAGGTTTTGCTCGCAACTTTTTCCCAATAGCGCAGCTACACAGGTGTGGGAGGGTAGAAGTGAAAGGAGCCCCCGCGGTTTCAGGCAGCTCCACAGGTGCTCCAAACGGGAATCAGTGCATGCCCTCAATCGGCCACCCCCTCCCCCCTTGTGGTGAACGGGAAGCTCCAGTTTGGACGTCTACAATTGCGACGGATCCGTGTGATTCGGTTCATTTCCGAAGTTATGAATTTTGAAAGAGGCTGCCAAGATTCCAGGCCTTCAATGGATTGTTATTGTTCTTTTCTTGTTTGGCGCGGCTCCCATTGATTTCAACCACCAAAACAGAGTGCCAATGTATTCCCACTGGATGGGTGCAGATTGAATAAGTGAAACATGAGCCAACTTCTTGGGACAACTTGTTGGGACCACTTGAGGTGTCGAGGCAACCAGCAGCCTGACCACCAACTTGTTGGACCACTTGAGGTGTCAAGGCGCAACAAGAGCAAAAAACGAGGTATCCAACCAGCCTGAAGCCTTAAACCCTCGCCAGCCGCTCGTTTTTGGTGAGGACAAGAGATCTGCGTCGAGCGCACCGACAATGCGGAGCGGAGGGCATGCAGAAGCGGTTGTTCGGGTGACGTTTTACGGGCCTAAATGGGTATGGCTCAAAATTTCAGAGCTGGGGTTACACGGGTTTTAGTCTTTGGTTCCATTTACCAGGGTTCCATTTTGGTACCACCTTTTTGAGCCACCGCCAAATATGTCGAAGGGTGTGGGAACATAAAAAGTCAAAGCAAGTCATGATCGTAAGAATGCAGGTAGTTGGTTAGCTCCTTCTATCATTGTGGACCACATGAGTTGTTCGAACACCGCGAATCTTATTGGGATAAGGGGAATTCCTGCTCAACGTGCCTGGCATGAGCCGACACGATCGCAAATGCGACCGGTCGAATCCCTTGGGGGTTCTCTACCTGTTCTCTTGGTGGTGGGTACAGCCCGTCCAAAACCGCCCTCGGGGTAAGCTCCCTCTGGGTGAGCCCATGCGTTCCCTCCTTTAATTTGCTGGGGAGTAGATTGGTGTGTCATTTTTCTTGCTGGTCAAGTGGGGAATGAGGGAATGAACCTGAAGATTCCCTTAAAGGAAACCATAGGGATGGTTTCTTGGGGGTCATTCCCTCATTCCCTGCTGAGCACCAGCAAGTTTTGGACCCCCACCATGGTTATTTTTTCGTTCCCTGAACCCCAAAAAATGTACGTACCCCCACGTTAAACCTCAGTGCCTACTGAAAAAGAGTACCACAACCGAACAGCCCCAAGGGCAGCACGTGGGGACATCAATGCTACACCGTAAGAAGTTCATCTGATCGATATGATCTAATACCTACTCTAAACCAAACCCCGCCAGAAACCCCTGATGTGATCAATTACCCTGCCATACTAAACGATAAATACTAAATCTAGTCTAAACCATGACTAAACGACTAAATCACAGTATAGACATTTCAGCTGAGGTATACGCAGCAAAACTCATACTCCAATGCCTTCTCTAAACCAAGACTAAACAATATAGACAATTCAGAAGCGGCCCAGAGTCTCATTTAAGGCCCTGCAAAATAATTGGTTGTATGGGTGTGTATTTGTTTGAGGGCACAACCTGACTACATGTCAATGTCCCTAGCATATTCAGCTCTTCTATTCACCACACTTCGTGGTCTGCTGGAACCATATACGCGAACCAACGGTACTTGAGTCGGATGCCCGCAACTAATCCACAAATGTCGAGCCCACATAAACTCAGTTGTCGAGTGGCACCATTTTTTTTTCCTTTTTTTTTCGTGGCTGCCCCACTAAAAATGGTCCCAAAGGGTTCCCTTTTTTCCATGGTCACTGAGGAACTGAGTAAACAAACCGCTGCTTTGTTAATAGGGGTGTTCCCTTTCAGGGGGTGTCATCACTTTTGGAGGGCACGCCCCGTGAAATCCGAAGATTAAAGGTTCACACCAGGAGATGGTTCATGTCAGCCTTCACATGGTTATTATTGAAAAACATTTTGAACATTTTGGCTTACTTATTGTGGTTTAGTGGTTGAAATCCCCACCTAGCTGCTAAAATTCAAATATTTGCTCCCCTTCCAACGTCAACCAAGTTTAGTTCCTGCGCAAGCGAAGTGAATCCACAGGCAGTATATACCCCAAGCGGCGAACTGGAATTTGTGCATGGTTGAAACCATTGTGTCAACACGTTGGCAACAGGAGAGGGGAATCATAGGGTTTCTTGGGTGGTGCGAAACGGATTTCGCAACCATGCACAGTAAGCCTAAGTTGCCTTGGGATTCTCCTTCCGTTTCACATCTTGAAGTCCGTTTCAAGCATCGCATGGGAGCTTTCAAGGTGCCCCTAAATCGTTTTTGGGATACCCTCCCTCCCAGAAAGACAGCACCTTCAAGGCACCCCCATGAGCCATGTTAGTGGGAGGGTAGTGGCTTTACATCCATAGTCAGACAGTCACGTTCAGCATGGTTTGCCTATAGGTTTCATATCGTCGCTATTTGGACCTTTCGACTTGATATTTCCTGGCGGTGTGTGTCAAAATAGGACGGCACTCAGAATGGGTGGTGTTCCTTTCGGTTTCCGTTTAAACCAAGGTGAAAAGGGTACCCTCACAAACACACACACACAACCACAAGCCCACACACACAAACACACACAGACACAGAGACACACAGACACACAGAGACACACAGACATACACAGACACAGAGACACACACAACACACACAACACACACAACACACACACACACAACACACACAACACACACACAACACACACACACAACACACACACAACACACACACAACACACACAATACACACAATACACACAATACACACAATACACACAATACACACAATACACACAATACACACAATACACACAATACACACAATACACACAATACACACAATACACACAATACACACAATACACACAATACACACAATACACACAATACACACAATACACACAATACACACAATACACACAATACACACAATATATACACAACACTGCACAAACAAACAAACAAACAAACAAGCAAGCAAGCAAGCAAGCAAGCAAACAAACACACACACAACACACACACAATATACACAATATACACAATATACACAAGCACACATAATGCACACACACAATACAATATTCACAGATGTTTTGTTATTTTTGTTCGGGCGTTCCCTAATATGTTCAAGAGATCCTATCGGAATGAGCCAATTTCTGATGAATATCCCACATGATATCACAGGAAGGGATCCATTTTCCACGCGCGACTGGGCAACTTTCGTCGAGGAGCCCTGGACGATGAATCTGCGCATCATTTGCTTTGCGCGGTCTTTGAGCCGCTCGTCTCCGACTGAGCCTGATTCAAGTGAAAGGCGCACAGAAGGTCGCTGCTGCGACAGGTAAGGAGTTACTCAGTTGTCCAAAGCCGACCTTTTGACCTTTTGGTGTTCCCATTTTGGTCCATTTTTTGTAGAGGTGCCAAAAGGTTAATCTTTTAGTTCTGGGTCCTTTTGGGCAACTGAGGTTACCTTCCGGGTTTTTGGAATGAGCCGTTTGGGGATTCATGATTTCCTCAAAGGAAAGCATAGGGGATGGTTTATACGGATGATTCCCCTCATTCCGTGCTGAGAACCAGCAAGATAAGGTTGACTGGGATGTTCCCGGGCCTTTTAAGCCAGAAGTGGCTGAATTTTCCTTTGGATGCCTACGGGGGACCGCTAAGGGGCCTTTGGATACGAGAAAGATGGAAGCGATCACTTGCAAGGTCCCATCAATCTGAGACTTACCCAAAGCCGCGCCGAGGGACTGCTGCAAGCGTAAGATTCTTACTCTCCTTTAAAATGGAATTGGGGGATGGGGGTGGAATTCCATTTATGGTTTCATTGTCTCTTTCATGAAAAAGACTACATTGGTGCATTTTGCTGAAATGCTGGGACTTTAACTGTTTGCCAACCTCCATATAACACCTGACAGCGGCTCCCTTCAGACGACATCTGATATTCTGGGTACCCGCCCCCGCGGGTGCTATGTACAAGTTGTGCTGGGGCCGGGACAAAATGTGTCGTTGACGTCTTAATCCCCACAGGTAACATATGCGACAACCTGACTACCTTCCTTCCTCATTGGACGGTCAATGGTTTAACATACTCCAAGCACGAGTGTTTGAAACACGGAGTGTTTGCGATCATGTGGCCATGGTTCAAAACCCATGGGATCCCATTTTTGGATAGGTGAACTCACCACCCATTTTAGAACCTGTTTTAGTGGTTGGATTGAGATGTTCACTGGGGGCAACGAGTTGGCCTTTGACCCATGGCCATGTGATTGTCTTGGTTGTTTCTGCGCGATTCCCAGGTTGGCCTAAGCTGTGTGTTTGATGATGTGGGTGCCAGACATGTGCTCGTTTCGTTTAAGCCAACATACACAGCTCATGAAAGAGGTGCTACTGTGGGTGGACCAAATCCTGCACCACTTTGAATCCACGGTTGAAACCGTTGTTTGTTGGTATTTACAGGGCAAGCGAATTCTCTCAGGGTTTCTGAACGGTGGTGCATTGGATGGATTTCGCAACCATCCACAGTATGAACCCGGAAAGTAAATTAACAGCAAGATGTGTTTCAACCAATGGAAACTGAATATGGCCTGGCTGGGTCCCTTGGATTTCCATCCCGACGGATGGACAATGCAGTTTCATGTGCTGACATATGGCTGTGGCTCAAAACCAATGGGATTCCATTTTGGGGTAGGTGAATTCACCACACATTTTAGAACCTATTTTAGTGGGGATTGGGATGTTCACCGGGGGTACGGGATTTTGACCCATGGCCATGTTTGTTCATACCATATCCAGGCGAAAGGGTTGCATAGCCCATGTCAAGTATTCGGTTAACCAGGGCACCATGGGGCACAAACCCGTTTCGTGTGGAGGGACGGTTTCTCGGTTTGTCCAGGGGAGCTTTTGTGAATTCCAGTCAACCTCCAAAAACACCCAACGAGACGATCCGAAGAAGCCCACGGCTTAGGTTCCTGAGCTTTCAGAACCCTTGAGATGAAAGGTCGGGTATCAACTCACTTCCTGAGTTCATGGACTTTGTGCCTTTGTTGGAAAACCATATTGGAGGTAAACAAAAAGTTTGGTTTCTTTTTGGGCCATCCAACTGCTGCTTGTGAATTTGTCCCAAATCCCGCAGCCAAAAAGCAGTTGAAAGGGTGCTGGAAGCCCGTTTAAGACCCTGGAGAGGAGAGAAGGCCTGTGCCCCATCCAAATCCCCATCTGATTTCACTCTTCTCAGATCAAGCAGTTCTCTTTTTTTGTTTTTCCTTTTTTCTCTCCGGTTTTTTAGCTCTGCTCCTTTTTTGCTTTTTTGTTTGCTGCAAAAACAACCGCCACAGGTTTCTTGCTCGCGCCTACCCTTTTGGTTGGTCGCCTCGCATCTATCTCCGCGTCGCTTCTCCGCGTCGCATGGCGCGAGATATGGACATCACCTTGCTGGCGGACGGCACCTGGAAGATGCTGGTGATTGACGGCCTCTGGCTGAAGCTTAGGCGCGCGCGCGCGTCTCGTTTTTCTTGTTAAATTCGCACTTCCTGAGTTCCCGGACATTTTGTTTTTGTTTTTTTCTGTTTGGACGATTTTAGTGGCAAATAGAAAGTTTGCAGGACTCTAGTGTCTTTTTGGGTTTGGACCATTTTTGTGGCAAAGCAAAAGCTTGCAGGACTCTAGTCTCTTTTAGGGTTTGGACCATTTTAGTGGCAAAGAGAAGTTTGAACCTTTTTTTGGGCCAATCCACTCTGGAAGTGAGGCTGTTTTTGTCTTTTGGTCTGGCAAGACGGGAATGGAGGGATTTGAAAAAGCCGCCCAATTGAAATTGGAGCTAAAGAGCCTGTGGACTTGTGTTTGTTTCATGGAAGTTCAGTTTGCCTTGCAAACCGAGTTTGGGCGAAACATCGAGCGCACAGTTGGCGGCTTTTTTCTTCAGGGAACGATATAAATTGGATAGGTGAACCTTAGCGTTGCCAGCTCGCAAGTGCCTTCCTCCTTCGGATCAACACAGCATGAGTACTGCAGCATCCGGTTATTGAGCTGTTTCCAAAGAACCGCCTAAGCCATAAAAAGGCCGTGGGTCATGTAAAAGCTATGCCCAAGCGAACAAACTTGCACGCACCTTGAGACTTGTGGTCTACAATTGGGGGACCCCCATTTCTGGACGGTGCTTGAGGGAAACAAGGTGTTGTTCCCATTGAAAACACCAAGAACTACTCATGTTAATTGTAACAGATCGCTGGGCAGATGCCCAAATCTTCGCCCCCTCCATACCGCGCGCCGTGAAACAAGGACGCGCACGCGCACACTACAAGAAGCAAGCAATATAATCGAAGCAAAGACAACACAAGCAGTGCAGCGGCAGCAACAATAAGACCAAAGAAACCTCAGTCAACCTTTTGGTTTTCCTAGTTTGATTCATTTTTGGTCATGACACCTGTTAGGTCAACCTTTTCTTTTTGGGTCCAATGAGGGCAACTGAAAAAAGAAGCAAAAACGAAGCCAAAGGACCAGCAGCGACCAAGCAGCAACGCTACGCGCTAAAGCGATCCGATGGGTCCGATATGGAGCTGGTGCGGCATGGCGGCGCCACCTTGGCGGTCGCCTCCCTGGCGACTCGTTGAATCAGATCCAAGCTGAGGGGACGACCAAGCGCCGGAAGGACAAACACATTCCCCATGGTTCTAGGGGTACCTTCCATCTCCATTCTTTCCAGGAATCCTTCTTTCTGAAAAACCTCTGGCAAACGGCCGGTTTTTGGAAAGAACAATGGTTGAAAAGAAGGGGGAAACCTCTAGAATGGTTCTCAGGGGCCAAGAAAATAGGAACCCTCTTAGTTCCAAATATGCTTTCTTAGTCGCTGTTAGTCCCTATTCGGATTGGGGGGGGGGGCCTATTGGTGGGCCCTTGACAACCATAGCAAACATGATGTTCCTTTCATGACTAAGTTTAGTCTTGTGTTTTGCGCCAACCCCTCTTCCTTCGTTGACTAGGACCTTATATTGTGCATTTCTTTCAGGGTGCTCTTTCTATGTAGGCTTCCGTAGGACGAAGTGAAAACCCGCATGTTGTTTGTTGGTTGGGTCCCCAATTCTATTGACACGTGCATCTCGTTTTGATCGGGGAAATCGGAAAGCTGGGTGGTTTCCAGGCGCTTCTCGGTTCCGAAGAGACGAAGGGCTTTTGATGTCTCAGTTGTTCAAAGCGAATCGACCTGAAGTGACCTTTTGGTTTTCCCTTTTGGGTCTATTTTTAGTAGAGGTCCCAAAAGGTTAACCTTTTATTTGCAGGTCCTTTGGGCAAGCGAGATGTCCGTTTAGTGAATTTACCATGGGTTTCGAGTAGACCGTCTAATAGCAGGCTTGTATAGTGACTCAATCCAGTAGGGTACCATCTTAATTTGCCTGAAAAGGGTGCCCTCAACAAAAACAGGCTCCCCACATGTTGTCGCATCTGAATGAAGGTTCATGAAATCTGGACCCGAGTCCAAACATCATATTGGGGGCAACCGTTAAGGTTGGGAGTCATTTGATGTCTTCTGGGTAAGTGAAAGACCTTTTGAGACAATTGAAAGCGCTCCCCAGCAAGCGGATCCGGTTTGGATCGGAACGGACCCTCCAAGGAGAACGTGGCCCTTTTGGAGTTGGTGTAAAGAGACGTCATTTCTCCAAGGTTGGCTAAGTACAAAACAGAAACTAAACATACCTCACTTTCTGAGTTCATGAACTTTAAACTTTCTGGGAATACCATTTTAGTAGTAAATATAAAGTTTGGACTTTTTTTGGACCATCCACTCAGCCGGTGAGATACAGGGGTGTGTCAAAACAGCAAAGCCCAACTGCTGATTTGGTGGCTGTGTAGTGTCCTTTTAGCTTCGCTTTAAACCAACAAATTCTAAGGGTTGATTCCCCATTCTTTTCAGCCATCGTTCTTTTCAAAAGCCAGCCCATTGCCCCAGGTGTTTGGTGGTTTTCTAGAAAGATTCGGAGCCCTGGAAAGAATGGAAATGGCAGTTGCCCCTAGAACCATGGGCCATCCCTGGAAAACCATCCCCTAGAACCTCTGATGGGAAGTTACCCCTAGACAGAGTTCCCCTACTAAAATAGACTACAGAAAAAAAGGGTACCCTTATTCTCACCTCTGCACTGGAGGACCTAGTTGGGTTCCCCTTTGAACCAAATGGCACCGAGCCCAAGACCCAAAAAACGGCCAGCAACGCCTGCCATCGAGGCCTTGCTGGCCTTCCACCCGACCTTCCACGGCACGTGGGAGTTCCTTTGGGACGATCTGGACAGATTGCGACCCAAGAGCGGATGGGATGCGACCCAAAGACATGGTGGTTCTTGGGAAGCATTTTACATGTTTGCTTATTGTGGTTTAGCGGTTGAAGTCCCCACTTTACTGCTAGTGTTTTGTTTGCTCCCCTTCTAACGTCAAGCAGGAAGATGACGATGTATAATTTAAAGGGCGACATATTGAATCTAGAATATATGTGTATATACAGATATATATATATATGTGTTGCTTGTTTATTGTTTGATACCTTCTGTATACCCCTTATACCTTTTTTGCTGTATATAAGGGACACCAACAGGAAACCACATACTTGTTTTGACACGTATCCACTTGTTTTGTAGTCTAGTTTTGGGGATTAAGTGAGACCTACGGACCATTGAGCTTGGCAAAAGCTCAGGGCCGGGCCTCCAAGTCTACTCCGCTACGGTTCAAACATTTGAGCCAGCTCAAAACCCGGGTAGATGAAGGGTTAGTAAGATACTCCCAACCTGAACAAGGTCCCCCAGTAGTTGCCTTCTACCTTTTCTTGGGGGGAGGGTTCCCCTACTAAAATAGCCTACAGAAAAAGGGTACCCTTATTCTATCCTCTCTACTGGACAGAATGACTAGTAGTTTACTTCTACAATAATGACTAGTTGGTTTTAAGTACCCCAGAGCCCGGTTCGAATTGGTTAGCCACTTATGATACTCACTAGTCATAGCTGAAACGGAACTGCCTCCCACTTTGGGTTGGCTAGGTCACCCTTCGCCAGGGTGCTTTTAGTCTTAACAGCTGTTGCCTTAGGTGACTGGTATCTTTTATCGCGGAATCCAACATTTTGGTTGATTCTAAGAGGACACCAAAAGGACAACTCTGCTTCCATTTGCTGAAATTAATATGTTATTATTATTATTATTATTTATTATTACTATTTTTATTATTATTTTTATTACTATTATTATTATTATCATTATTATTATTTATTTTTCCCCTGTTGGTTTTAAACGGAATCGGTTTCACTACGTGAACAATATTTTTCCCGGGGTCTTTAACCAAATGGAAGTCTGACATTGACGCTGGACCTGAAGCCCAACGCCTCCAAGTCCTGTTGCTTTTGACCCACCGCAGGGTTTAGTCCTTGGTTCCATTCACCAGGACAACCCATTTTCGGCACCTTTTTTTGACCCACAGCCATAATTATTGGGGTGGCAACCGTTAAGGTTGGAAGTCCTTTGGATGTTGGGTAAGTGAAAGACCTGTTCATGGTTGTTCTTGGGAAACAGTTTTCATTGTTGCTTATTGTGGTTTGGTTGAAATCCAACCATTGAACTGCTGATTCTAAAAAAAAAAAAAACTATAAAACAGTTCAAAAAAAAACAATGCTCCCCTTCCAGGGTCAACCAAGGAAGGCAAGTTCCCTGCAAAGTTTGGCGAATTTGGATGGGCTTGTCGATGGGAACCTCCCGTACCAAACCTCTCCAATCCAACCACCAATTGGAGGGGCTTGCCTGAAAATATCAGGTCATTTGGATCCACCAGGACCTTGTTTTATGGTTTGATCGCCTCTTGATTTGGGTTGGTTTCCTGGAAAACCCAAAGCAGCAGTACCTTTCTTGGGGGTTTGATCGCCTTTGTTGGTTGGTAGCCGGTTTTGGGTTGGTTTCCTGGGAAACCCAAAGCAGCAGCCGGGGTCCAGCCTCAAGACTTCGACGACTGCCGGCCGCTTCGCGCGAGGAGAACTTCGGCCCAGAGGCGCAACCTTTCCTGCGCGTGACCTGGGCCAACTTGGCAGCCTGGGGCGGCCCTGAAACCGCCGCCTTCTCGTGCCTCGGAAAGAAACAAGACGCGGAGTGCCGGTGGTCCTTAATGTTGAGCCCGGATTAATAAACCCCTGTTTATTGATATGGGGGTGTCCCTGGCTTTAGTGGGGATTCATCACTTTTGGAGGGGAACACCCGCATATTAATAAACAGGGGTTTATTAATCCGGGGTCAACATTAGCTTTGAGTAAGAAAGTCATAGAAGTATGCTCACACATTTGCCAGGGGACTTAAGCAAATGGAGGTTAGGTTTGCTTAGACATGAGTGTGGCGCAAAACTTCAGCAGTTTGGGGTTACGCAGGTTTTTACTTCCTTGGCAGCTTCCATTTGCATTATGTTTGTACTTCTTTTCCCCTGTTGGTGTTAAAGGTAATCGATTTCACTACTGGAAACATGTTTTTTTGTTCAGGGAGTTTAAGCAAATGGAGGTTAGGTTTGGACTAGAAATGGGTGTGGCTCAAACTTTAACAGCTGGGGTTACGCAGGTTTTACTCTTAGTTTCCATGTACCAAGGTGCCATGTTCGGTACCAAAAACAAAAAAACGCATTGCCGTCGTTATTGTCCTAGACATGTCGCCTAGTCTTTTCGGTTAGAACTTGACTGGGCGGTTCACAGGCGATCCTTGATCCTTCCCTTGAGTTGCCCAGGGGGTTCCTTTGTCGGTGGTTTTCCACCAGGGATCCCGGAGGATTGGCACACTTCATGTTGAACAGCCCAGATAGATCCTCAGTTGTCCAAGGCGAATCAACCTGATCTGACCTTTTGGTTTTCCCATTTTGGGCCATTTTTTGTAGAGGTGCCAAAAGGCAAACCTTTTAGTTCTGGGTCCTTTGGGCAACTGAGGATCTGTTGCGCTGGTTTAGATTGTTGTTTCATTTGCCAGGGCCAAATGATTTTTTCCCATGTTTGCCGCCTTTTTAGGCACACGGCAGTTTCTCCAGGGGTTTCTGAGAACATGAGCAGATGATGGACTCAATATTTTGGAGGACGGAAGGGCCACCACTGGCTCGATTGAAAGGGGTATAAGGGAAAGCCATGATGGTCCTTGAGAGTCGGATTGCAGGTTTTGCGCAATTGCGGTTGAGTATGCTGTACGCAAGGTTCACCATGGATCACAAAAAAAAATACCGGATTTTTGGTTGGGGCAGTCGAGCAGGCGGCACTTGTTTTTCGCTTGAAAGCAAACCGAAGAGCGGTATCAAAATAGCTGGATTCCGGTTTTTTTCATGACACCAACCACAAGTTTGGAGGGCTCCCCTCTTTTTGCTTCAAAGCAGGGCCATTAGAACCCCCCCCCCGTGTAAGCAGGTCAATTGCGGAATGGTCACAACCCGTAATTAAGAGGGGCCCAGAAGCCCGACTAATCCACCCCCATGGATATGTGCCTCTTTTTTTCATGTATCTTGCTGAACTTGAAAACAACTAGAGAAACCAACTCCGATTCTGGCCGACTGGAGACACCAATCCGCACATAAAAGTTTCACCTCTTCCCCGTTCCAGGATGATTATCACGCTTGCCTGATTCGGAGGATCCCAACTTGTTCATATTGTGATGGTTGGATGCATCTTTTGGGGAACCCCCCCAAAAAAAAAGAGACAAATCATGGCCGAAGCTCCGCCTTCCAGCCGCGGCTTCGCCCTGCCGCCCGCCCCACTTCGCCGCCCGCCTCGTTCTCTCGACGGCGGAGGCTGCGGGTCTACGAGCCTCTGGCCCTTGCGCTGAAGAGCTGCGCCGCGGAGGCCGCGGAGCTCAGCTGCCGGCGCCTCGCGAGCGGGGGAGCGCTTTTTTGAGGGCTCAAGGGGCGCGAGGCGTGTTTTTGTTGGCCAAATAAAGGCGTCCATCATGGCTTCGACTTGTTTCTCTTGGTCTCTTTTTTTGTTGTTTAAAGGAGTCGCATGTTGAGCATTTTGAGAAAGCCCCAGAATTGTGTCCCACACATTCAGCAGCCTCAAAGTTGAAGGTGATATTTTCGTTGGGTGTCTGGGGATACCCTTTTCAGGCTGTGGTTCAATCGAAGGGAAAAGGAGACCATTACCCTTGCGGCCTTTGGGGCCTAGGGTGAAGCGGCGGTGATGTGCTTTCTCCGAAGAGTCGGACACATCTTGTTTGTAAGGCACGGTTTACAAAAGAGGGTGTCTTTTTTTGGGGATTTCTGCTTAAGCGCAATGTGGCTGCATGTATACCTTGGATTCCTGAAAAGATAATTAGTACTCGTGGGATGGGTCGCAAGGGAACCCCCGCTTGGTTCCTTTTCACCCTTTCAAACCTGAGCCTCGGCCTTAGCGTCCCATAGCTTGGGGGACCTCCAAGCTAAAAGTGCACGCGCCGAAGGCTTCTGAGCACGTGCCCGTTTTTTTTTTTTTGGGGGGGGGGTGGGCGGTGGGGTTCCCCGGTACAGGGAGACAAGTGGGCGACGAAGGGAGGGGGTTGCCTCGCAAAAATGGCGGGCTTCGGTTTTCTGCTGGTTGTGCTTGGGGCCCCTTGGGTTTTTTTGGGGCCCCTTGAAGCCCTTGGGGCATTGAAATTTAATTATAGTGTTGGGGATTGAATACTTACAGAACTCAGGTACCCTTTATAATTGGCAGTTTGGAATGGTGGTTTGGAATTGGATTTGGAGCCCTGGTTCCTGTAGAGGCTCAGTGGGAACCCTCCTTAACCACACCAAGAAATTAGCGGCAAGCTGCATCTGATCTTGGTGGCTCCCAGCAATTGGTGCCCGACCTCTCACCCTTTTTTTGGTTGGGAGGGTTCCCCTACTAAAATAGACTGCAGAAAAAAGGGTACCCTTATTCTAACCTCTCTACTGGGACCTAGTGTCTTCCAGTGGTGGCTCCCAGCCATCCGGTTCCTTAGCTTTTTAGATCCTTTTAGTGTTTAGTGGTAGTTTCCGTATTTAACCCACTAAAAGTTAGTTAAGCTTTTGGCGGGGGATCTGAAAACGGGTGATGTATATCTTTGTTTGAGACCAGAAGAGTTGGCCCGAGTGACGACCAACAGCAGTATCAACTTTAGAGTTGGGCCCGGGGGAAGCGGCCCAGGGGAAACCATTTGCTGCTTTCCCCTTCTTGTGGATCTATCCGCTCTATCCTCAAAGCAAAAAAAGACCTAGCCTCAATTATCTGGGTAAGTGAAGGTTAGCAAGGGACAATCCCAGGTTTCTTAGCTGCGGATATCCTTCGGACAGTTCTTTACATGGTTCTGGGATTACGACTATTTTCGTACCGGGTTTTGATTATGACTCATTTGGACACCTGGGAATGCTTGGCCTATTTTCCCTGATGTTTTTGTTGTGAGAGATTTCAGGAGAACAATGTTAGGAAACCAGGTTTTGATCTCGAGGAACCTCCACATCCTGGCGGGCGCGTGTCATGCCCTGGCCGCGGCCTTGGCCTTTCTGGGCACCAAAGCCATCGCGCGAGGGGACGAGGACCAGAGCGAAAAGAACGCGTGTTTTTGTTCCTCTTGTTTTTCTTCTTCTTCTTTTCCTTTTTTTATTTCCCCCCCCCCAACAAAAGGGCCACTCTCTGTGAAAACTATACACAATAAAAAATGGGAGTGCATGAGTTATTGGTATGGTTTTTTGCAGACATCTTTGAAATAGGTACCTCAAAGGCAACTTTGGCTGTCACCGAAAACTTTGTGCATGTATGTGTCATGTCTCAGGGTAGCCCTTTCTGCTTGGTGAAGAACCTCACCCACCCCTGAGCACGTTGCCTTTCAGCCGGCACCCCTCGCCTCGCCTCATCGCCTCATCGCCCCCCAGGACCTCACCTGGCGCAGCGCCTTAGGCGCAGGTCTCTTCGCGGTGCACCCCCTCTGCGCGCAGGTGGTGTGCTGGGCCTCCTGTGACCTGGTTGCGAGTGAGGTGTTGGATTTTTCTGGGGGAGCTGGGGTGGTCTAGGTGTAGGAGTCGAGGATTTCTCTGGGGGGAGTTGGGTTGGTCTGGGGTCATCATTGTGGAGGATTTCTCTGGGGGGAGTTGGGTTGGTCTGGGGGCATTAATTATTTTTAATTATTTTGACTGACTGTTTCTGAAGGTTATCAAAGTCAGAACATGTGGTTGTTGCCCTTTAAACCACTTGGGGAGTGACTTTGATTATTGCAAATAATGATGTCAGTTGGTGCACGACTCTTTGGTGCTAGCCCCTCAGACTCAGTGCAAGCTGATGGCTTTACAAGAAGAGTGAGGTTTCGTGGGGGATTTGGGTTGGTGCATGTCGTATGGCTCCTTGGCGCTAGCCTCTGCAAGCAAATGGCTTTTGCTTTGAACCGAGCTCGTGCTTGGGGCTTGGAGCTATCCAGGTTCCGCCCGCAAATTGGACCTTGTTTTTTGGGGGGGGTGGGGTGGGGAATTTTTGTCTGAAGCTTTGCGGGCCTGAGGGAACCTTGTACATTGACATTGCGTTCAACCGAGTGATTGCATTTTTGCGGCAATCCAGGGTTTGCCCAGCTTGCCAACAGCAAGAAAGGATCTGGGTAGCTATAGCTTGCCTGGGATCTGGGCAAGCGAGCTGCCCACTCGGGATAAATGAGCGATTGAACAGAAGGATGGATGAGAACGGAAATGAAGCCGTAGAATGTCAAATCGTGATTCATCAAATGGAGAATCCTCATCCAGGGTGGCAAACCCCATAGTGGCGAACCAGCTTTTAGAGTATTCGTTTGAGTACCCCCACGAGAGCAGTTCTAAATTGGGAAACCAAGCCCAGGAGTCAATGTGTCCGAGCGCGTGGCCCAACGGAACCAAATTCCCTTTAGACAATGGCCACTGAAAGACCAAAAGAAAGGCGGTCGCAACCATGTTGAGGTGTTTGGGGGGTTTGGGGGCTTGAAATTTCCAGATTTTTGCCCGATTGTTCAAGGTCGTCAGTAAGGGATTGGGTTCGCCTTTCCCAGACACTTTGGTGGCACGTCGCACCTCTTTTTGGCCAACCCAGCTTATGTTTAGCTGGCTTTTGGGGATTGCCATGTTGCCACAAACAAGCCAGCACATGCGGCAGTTTGGCAGCGACTCGGTTGCCTCAAGTAGACAACCCAATCGTTAAAGGCCCCTTGTTTGCCGGTCGAAATGGTCACATGATCATGGGATTTCACTTGAAGTTCACCATGGTTTGACCGGAGTTTTGGCGTTCGACTTGACCTAGTTGCCCTGCTTGGTTTTCGCTTGGACTCTTGAGGTTGTTGACCCATGCGGTAATTCGGTCTGGATTGGTGGTTTGGGATTTGAACCCTTGGTTCTTGTAGAGGATAAATGGGACACCACTCCGTTTCACCACCAAACCGTGCTCCCAGCCACCCTGGTGAGGGAAGATGATGTGATTTAGCTAGAGGTTGACCTAATTTGTTTTTTGCCTTGACATGTTTTGGGTTTTTGACCAATGAGGTTCGCCCTTTTTGCTGAAAGTGTTGACGTGTTTCGGTTCGACCTGCAGACTTGACCCTACTTTCTGCTTGGACTTTGTTCACGTTTTGGTGAGGTTGGATGATGTGAGGTTTACCCTACAATGACCAATGTTTTTGACCAATGAGGTTTTTCACCAATGACCAAGATTGGATTGTTTTTAAGGTGTTTGATTAATCAAGTTTTCCCCTATTTACCTAGAGGTTGACCTGATTTGTTCATTTTGTTATCGGTGTTTGACCAATGTGATTTGTTCATTGTTTTGGTGTTTGACCAATGAGGTTTGCCCTCGGTTTACCTACAGGTTGACCTGATTTGTTCATTTTGTAGGTATTTGACCAATGAGGTTTACCCTAGGTTTAGAGGTTGACCTGATTTGTTCAATTTTTGGGTGTTTGACCAATGAGGTTTGCCCTCGGTTTACCTAGAGGTTGACCTGATTTGTTCATTTTGTAGGTATTTGACCAATGAGGTTTACCCTAAGTTTAGGGGTTGACCTGATTTTTCATTTTTGGGTGTTTGACCAATGAGGTTTGCCCTCGGTTTACCTAGAGGTTCACCTGATTTGTTCATTTTGTAGGTATTTGACCAATGATGTTTACCCTAGGTTTAGAGGTTGACCTGATCTGTTCATTTTTTTGGTGTTTGACCAATGAGGTTTGCCCTCGGTTTACCTAGAGGTTCACCTGATTTGTTCATTTTGTAGGTATTTGACCAATTATGTTTACCCTAGGTTTAGAGGTTGACCTGATCTGTTCATTTTTTGGGTGTTTGACCAATGAGGTTTGCCCTCGGTTTACCTAGGGGTTGACCTGATTTGTTCATTTTGTAGGTATTTGGTATTTAACCAATGAGGTTTACCCTAGGTTTAGAGGTTGACCTGATCTGTTCATTTTTTGGGTGTTTGACCAATGAGGTTTGCCCTCGGTTTACCTAGAGGTTGACCTGATTTGTTCATTTTGTAGGTATTTGACCAATGAGGTTTACCCTAAGTTTAGGGGTTGACCTGATTTTTCATTTTTGGGTGTTTGACCAATGAGGTTTGCCCTCGGTTTACCTAGAGGTTCACCTGATTTGTTCATTTTGTAGGTATTTGACCAGTTGATGTTTACCCTAGGTTTAGAGGTTGACCTGATCTGTTCAATTTTTGGGTGTTTGACCAATGAGGTTTGTCCTCGGTTTACCTAGAGGTTCACCTGATTTGTTCATTTTGTAGGTATTTGACCAATGAGGTTTACCCTAGGTTGAGAGGTTGACCTGATCTGTTCATTTTTGGGGTGTTTGACCAATGAGGTTTGCCCTCGGTTTACCTAGAGGTTGAGCTGATTTGTTCATTTTGTGGGTATTTGACCAATGAGGTTTACCCTAGGTTTAGAGGTTGACCTGATTTGATTTCTTCATTTTTAGGTGTTTGACCCTATCTTTTTGCTTGGTCTTTCACGTTTTGCTGAGGTTTGCCCTACATTTGGTCCACCATCTTCTCCTGGCTCGCCGTGCTGCTCTTCCTCCACAGCCTCCGTTCCGGCGCCGCCGCGGTCGCCGGGCGCTCCGCGGCGCTCTCGGCGGCGTGCTACGCGGCGGCGGCGCTGTGCAAAGCGGCGGCGCTGCCGCTGCCGGCGATGCTGCGCCCGGGACCTCTACTAAAAATGGTGGCATGGTGGTTGTTGGGAGTTTTTACATGTTTGCTTCTTGTGGTTTAGTGGTTGAAATATTTAACCACTTAACTGCTAACATATAAATGGTTGCTCCCCTTCCGACGTCGACCAAGACAGGTCGGCTTTGCAAAGTTGAGAACCTTAACATCATGGCTCACCTTTTTGGGCGACGGAAATCTTGGGACCACTGGGATCTGGGTTAACTTGCTGCTGCGATAGGGAATGAGAAAGGGAATGAACCGTTCGGGGTCATTCCATACATGCAACCACCAGTTGGATGGTTTGTAGGAGATATTCCAATTCTCATTCCCTGAGCAGCAGCAGCAGAAGCAGCGGCAAGACACACATGAAGCTTGCAGGGGTGAATGTTGACCCCAGATTAAACCTGTCCAGAAAAATCGGCGTGGACGATGAATCCCCACAAAACCAGGGCCACCCCCGATTAATAAACTGGAGTTGACTCAGCCAGGGTTGCATTAGTTCTCTACTAGAATCATGACGTTTGTTATGCAGAAACCAATGTTAGATTTGGTTAACCAGTGCACTTTTTGCCAGCAATTGTGGAAGCGGACAGGCCTCTTTGAGAGTAATGTTCCAAGACCCTGTCAACTATGGTTGTTGAAAGGTGTCCTACTGAGGATGGACCAAATCCTACACCACTTCGAAGCCATGGGAAACCCAGTGTTTGTTGGTATTAGCAGGGGAATCATCGTTCCAGATTTTCTTAGGTGATGCAGGATTTCGTCCAGTATTGTTTCTGGAGATTCACTGGTCTGGCAGTGTCTTTGGATCCGAGTCGTCCCTCTAGCATGTGCCTTGCATCTATGGCTGTGTTGGACGGCACGGATATCCAGCCTTTTGATTCTTGGGTTTTGGGGTCCTTTTGAGTCAGACCCAACTTAGCTTTACATTCTGATTTGAACTCTTCGCTTGGTTTGGAACAACAACCTGAAATTATGGCGTCAAAGAATTTGACGTAGAAACCAATGGCTTAAGTTGAGTGAGGGCGTACTTGCCTGAACCAACATGTTACCCGAAAAGAGGATCAAGAGAGGACACGGGGAGGTGTTATGTTGGTTCCCTGTTGAATCCGTCCAATGAAGCATGTGTGCGTGTATATATAAAAAATATGACACGTATGTGAATATATATATATATATATGTATGTATCATGTGTATAATATGTTTGTAATATACGTATACATGCATATTATATATTGTTTGTTGTCTACTTCCTCGAAAGCATGGGCTTTTCATGGCACTGCTTTTTGTAAGGTTGAAATACTGCCTGGCACATCCACGGATCAGGGAAGTCAGGATGTGCCCCAAAGAGTGTGGATGCACTCTTGAGATCCACATGCCAAATGTCTCATCTGCCCAAATAAAACGACATTATTGAAACCCATTCAAAGAGGCGATGTTCACTCCTTTGAGAAAGGCCCAATGTGAAGTTTGTCTCATCGCCTTGTGTTTCTGTTTTCCCTTCAAAGCTTAGAGGTTCGCCAGCAAGGCTCAAAAAATGATGTAGGTGTTCCAACCATGGAGACGGGCTTTGACCCATTTCTCTAAAGAGAACATCTGTCCAGATATCCGTCTTGGAAGGCCACCCAAAAAAGGTGACAAAATCCGCAGGCATGTGTTTCTGGAACGCAGGTTGAAGTGAGGGGTTGGACTCGACCGCCCACCTCAACACTTGACACGTGTTCAGTGGATTCACACCCATTTGGTTTGGTGATTTCCCCACAATGAGGCCGTTCAATGAGCTTGGTGTCCGATCTTTTGGGGTAATCTCACGGGAGAAGAAGCGAAATCGGTAGCGAAGGCTTCCTCAAGGGTTCGCAGTATGTGGCTCTCTTGGAAACCCCAGACCTTACCTCTTAAAAACACCAAGCTTTTCTCAACTCTTTGGGTAACATGGGCTATATGTCTGGAAAATATTATCTTCCCCAGGGCTTGGAGTTTTAAGGGGTTTCCAGACTGTTCAGCCTGCAAACCTGGTTTTGTCTGGTTTCCGGACCCGCTGGAAATGGTCGACCTTCACACAGGCCGTGGAACCATTCTGAATTTGTCGACATAACCAACAGTCAACCCTTGACATGTGACATGGGATGTTTTGTTTTAAGGGACCCTCCCAAAAAAGTGGCTCTCCTCTCGGTTGCCTGCAAAACCACCAAGCAACGGGACCCACAAAGAAAGAATGAAGCACGTCCCATTTTGGCGTTTCACCTCATTCTGCCAGCACCTGTCAGGACTTTGCTTCGGCTCTCCTACGGGCAGCCGGCGAAGCGACCGCCTGAGCTCTTGCACTGGTTGGGCTTTTGCGTGCTTCTTCGCTGGGCCCTCCTGGCAGCACAGGACATCTCATCCAACCCCTCTTCAAATGTGCAACTTGAGTGGCTTCGGATCGCAACATGAGGAAGCACTGAGTCATGCTGATGTTGGGCTTAGTATGCCTTAGTAAGCCATAGTGTTGCTTGGTGCTTAGTGTTGAACTAGGTAAGCCTCAATCATGTTTCTGCTTCGAGTGTTAGCAAGGCTCAGCAACTCCCAGTAAGGCATGCTTACTACTCCAAATTGATCCTGAGTGCTATTGAGTCTTGCTGAGCAGTTGGAAACGTAATGATTCCTATGTTTATTGTGATTTGCTGAGCGGTCATTTTGTGCTGCAACTGTGCCGCGAACTGAACATTGAATTGAACATGAGCGGATGTAGACCTAGGTTCTGATCACTTGCACACAAAAAGCCAACCTACCTGAAAAAGGGTAGCCTTAAAACGCACCCCCATCAAGGGAGAATCGCGGCAAGGGATTTTGTGCCCTTTTTGTTTGGTCGCTTTCCAAAGATAGACATTGAACAGGGCTGCCTGCTTGAACCTCTCGGATCCAGTCAGTTTTTAAGGCCCGAGAGTCGCCCAATCAATTTGGCATGTCCAAACGCCCGCAAGAAGCCAATGGGGCTTTGCCTACGTCACGGATGGACCAAATCCTTGGGATTGGTGACTTATACAACATTCAATTCGGGGTTCAAGCGCAATATGGATTTTGTTTGCATCCTTGGAAGTCCTTGCCCACAGAAAAGCTACATGGTTGTTGTTGGGAAGCATGTTGCATTTGTGCTTATTGTGGTTTAGTGGTTGAAATCCAACCACTTAAAACTGCTAGGATTTATTTCAATTGTTGCTGCCCTTCCATCGTCAACCAGCAAACAAATGTATCCAGTATTTAAAGGACGGCATAATGACTAGTAGTTTACTCCTGTAACAATGGTTAGTTGTTTTTAAGTACCCCAGAACCCGGTTCGAATTGTAACAGGGCTCCTTAAAAGATAGATTCTGCATGATTTTGCCCATTTGACACATGTTGCTTTTTCCACCAACATAAGGGGAAACCACCATTGACAAGGCAGGCAATGTTCAGGTGTATAATGTTTGGGTCCCTGTTTACCTCAAGTCTTTTGGTAGCTGCAAAAGGTGGGCTGTCTGTTTAAGTACCAAGGCCAAGGGGAGACTCCAGGCCCGAAACCTCGAGGCTCGGGCCATCGCTTCGATCAACGCCAGGACGGCGAGGAGGTGCAGAGTGTCGCCGTGCAGCTGACGCCGCAGGACCCCTGCGAGACCGGACCCACCGTTTTTGAGGTCCCGACTTCATGCCTTTTCGGGTTTTGGACCATTTTAGTGCCCAACATTTATTTCTTCGGGTTTTGAACCATTTTTGTGGCAAACATGTCTTTGTTGGGGTTTGGGCCACGTTAGTGGTACACAATACTTTTCGGGGTTGGAGTATGTTAGTGGCAAGCAAGTACTTTTTCGGGTTGGGACCTTTTTAGTGGCAAGGAAAGAGTTCGGCGACTTTTGTGGCCAATTTATGCAGGTGGCCAATTTATGCGGGAAGTGATCCTTCGGGCGTTTTGTTGGTGCAAAATTTGGCTAAAAAAGGGGTGGCCAGGTGAACCAAAAGCCCTCCCGTCCAGCATGGAAGCCGCTGAGACCAGATTTGAGGCGAGCTTCTGCACTTGAGACTCCTTGGGTGTGGACCATTTTGGCTAAAACCAAACGGCTACCAAAATCAGACGGATAGTCAGATTAAACATAGTCGTGTCATGTGAGAATAGTACAACTCATGTGTTTTTGGTACTAGTACTCATCTGGCCATGGGTCAAAATCCAAATCGTACGCCAGTGAACATCCTAATATCCACTGAAATAGGTTCTAAAATGGGTGGTGAAATCACCTACCAACCAAAATGGGATCCCAAAACGGTTTTGACAGCCACAGCCATCTCTTTCTCTTTTTCCCCCACCGTCAAACCTCCGGAAACCCAGGGAAAACGGCTGGTTTTGGAAAATAACTATGGTTGAAAAGAATGGAAAAGGAGTCAACCCCTAAAAAGTGTTGGTTGTCTTTTTTCTCCCAGTGTCTTTCTTTCAGGACAACCTCCTGAGGGCCGCGGGCTCCGTGTTCGCCCACCTCATGCTCTTGTGGCCCGGCGAGGCGCTCGCTTGCGACTCGCTTGCTCCGCTTGTCTCCTGCTTTTCCCCGCGAAAGGCACTTTGCGCGCGGGTCGTTTTTTTTTGGGTCTTTAGGGGACCCCCCCAAAAAAATGTGTTTCTTGCTTTTGCTGTTGGGATCCCTTTAAAACAACTCGCCAAAAAAAGGGGGTCCACCACCCATGTGTGGTGGTTGTTCGCGGGTTTCCCGAGGCTTGCCTTTGTTGAAGCGAGGGCTCCACCACCTTTGACTCGAACAAAAGAATCCATGTTGTGCTTGTGCGTGAACCCAGCGGGTTTAAGGGAAGTCAGGGAACAAACATCCATTTTGGCGCATGTATCCACAGGCCCAACAAAAGCGACTTCCCCCAAAAAAGAGATGAGTTTCACAAAACCGCGGTGTAGATGATGGTCCCTGATAATCATATGAACCTATATGGCAAGCTAGGAAGATCAAAGCGCCTGCAATGAGGCAATCACTGAGCTCACAAGGGAAGCTTCATAAGTTTCCCTCATGTTCCTTTGCAGAGTTGTTTGATACTGCAAGGTGCCCAAGAACAGGTTGTTGTCCCTCTGGTGTCCTCGTGGTTTCCCTTTAAAAGCAAAAAGACGCATTCTCAAAAAGCGGACGCCGGCATGTGGCTTTGGCCCAACTTGTGGAATGAGTTTCAGCCATGCAGCAAGTGTCTCACGTGGGTTTGCTTGGGTCACAGCCTCAGCTGGAAGAGTTTAAGGATCCCTTGAACCACCACCTTAACCACCATTGCTTTTAGTCTAGATCCCCCGGTAGTGCCCTTTTACCAGCTTTTTTGGGGGAGGGTTCCCCAACTGAAATAGACTACTGCAAAAAGGGCACCCTTATTCTAACCTCTGTACTGGAGGACCTAGTTAACCACCATTGCTTTTAGTGGACCCAGTTTGCGGCAAACTTCAACCACCATTTAAATTTGGTGGGTAATCTTGCTTTTGGACCCAGTTTGCGGCTACCAGCTGAGTTGTCCAGACCCTGACCTTTGTTCCTTGTGGCACGGGGTTTTCCTTCAAAAGAAGATCCCCCCAAAAAGAAGAGAGTCGATCACCGTGAACCAACTCATTTCCACAACTGTATCTGATTGAAATTGTATTAGAAGTGAACCGGAATCAATCAGTAGGGAAATAGTTCAATGAGCATGCCCAACTTAGAATTCAATCGGTCCAAAGAAGTTTGATGAAAAGCTGATTAGCATTGACACAAAAATAATAGGGACACTTCTTGCTTATCTACCTATGCATCTATCTATCGATCTATCTATCTATCTAATCTATCTATCCATCCATCCATCAATCCATCCATCCATCCATCCATCCATCCATCCATCCATCCATCCATCCATCCATCCATCCATCCATCCATCCATCCATCTATCTATCTATCTATCTATCTATCTATCTATCTATCTATCTATCTATCTATCTATCTATCTATCTATCTATCTATCTATCTAATCAATCTAATCTATCCAGCTATCTATCGATCGATTGATCAATCTATTGATCCATCTATCTATCTATCTATCTATCTATCTATCTATCTTTCTTTCTTTCTTTCTTTCTTTCTTTCTATCTAATCTATCTAATCTATCTATCTATCTATCTATCTATCTATCTATCTATCTATCTATCTATCTATCTATCGATCGATCTATCTATCTATCTATCTGATCTGATCTGATCTGATCTGATCTGATCTGATCTGATCTGATCTGATCTATCTATCTATCTTTCTATCTGTCTATCTATCGATCTATCTATCTGTCCATTTATCCATCTGTGCTTCTAGTGACATATCTACCAACCATTGGCAATCTACCTGTCTTTCTATCTTTCTCCTGCTAGGTGGCTTGTTAACCGGTTAGTCAGCTAGTAAGCTAGTTGGCTGGTTGGCGAGTTTTTGCTCGCTTGCAACGAGCCTCACAGTCATACCACATACTAACGTGTGTAAGGGCAAGAGTGTGTCTATGTAAAGTTCCTGGAAGCAGAAGAGTTTGTCAGGGCTTCCATCAGGGCGGATGCACTGGACCAGGTTTGCCGGGCCTGTTCGGCGCTGGATCCAATGCTAATTTCACTTGCTGAACAGGGTGCTTGGTTGATCTCTAAAAGGCTAAAGGGCACACGCCTGTTTGCCACATGTTCTGCATGCTGCTGCGGCTTCCTAGCGTGCTTGCGAAATAATTTGTCTCTCAGTCTCTTCTCTCGCACTTCTATCTGCCCCACACGCCTCTTGGGTCTGCCTAGTTCTGTGTGCCAATTCAATTGTCTCTCAGTCACACTGGCGGACGCGAAATCGTTTGCTCATCAGTCTGCCAAACATTGCGCGCCTACTTTCTCGCACTGAAGACGCTTGCCTTTGCTTCCGCCGTCATGTGTTTCCCGTTTTCGTTCGGACGCCTGGCTCAAGATGCCGGCCGAGCTATTTGGATCTTCGCTGGCTACCGCACTGGTTACCCCTGAGTCTTGGTGAGCCTAAGCTGGACAGGTAGCCTAGGTAGACTTAGTTTCTCTAGTTTACTCTGGTGGGTTGGGGTAAGTGACATCAGATGGCGTGCTCCATGCCTTAGGTGCCATCGCGCACCAAGCTGGAGCGTGTCCGCCTGGACGAAGCTCACGGGGCACCTAGATCTGATTCAGCGTTGCATTTCAGAGTGTACGCAGGTGAGTCATTTGCTTGCCACAGCTACGACAAAGTGCTGCAGAACGCAGAGCTGGGAGCCATGAAGTTTGGCCGCAGGATGTCACATCCCATGTTTTTGCGACCGACCGACTGACCTGCAGCTTGCGCAGGACCGCGGCCCACGTCATCATGGTTTGGGTGGTGCAGCCCGGCACAGCAGGATGAAGCGCCCTAAGCAGCTATCAGCCCACGGCTTGATCTTGGCCCTGGGACCGAGGTCTTCTTTTCCTTGCGCTTCAGCGCGGGCGGCCCACTGCGGCAGGCTGCTGCAGCGGAAGCTGAAGGAGGCACTTGGTAGTCATCGGCATCAGGGCCGAGTTTCAATACATGTCGTCGCATTGTTGTTTGAGGCCCGCCCGCACACGGCAGTGGACGACGGCTGCGGGGTCACCTTCGCAAACCCGGCAGCCGCTGCCCTCTTTCGGGCGCAGGCGTCTCAGAGCCTCAGCTCAGACTCAGAAGTTTTCGGGGAGCTGCGCAAACAGAGCACCAACAACTGCTGGCCAAGGTATGGGCGGGTGCTTGTAGAATTGCTGAACATGTTGCGCAGGAGTTGTAGCCACATGTTTCGAATTTCTGCGGTGTTGCTGCTGTTGGAGCAAGTAAAATATGCGAGCATTCTCCGAACAGTTAGCTCATGTGGCTCATGTGCCATGTCCTTCAACCGACCCGGAAATACTGTGGAAAAGTTGATACGACGCCGGATGGCGCGGGAATTTGTGTCTTTCTCGCTCAGCAAAACACACAAATCCTGCAAACGCACCGAAGCTGCCAGCAGAAACGGTGGTGCAAGAAGACTGCCAATCACAAAAATAGGGCGAAAAACACACCTGGACGAAAATCGCACGGCCCCTTTCAGGCGCCATGAACGTCTTTGCGCATACACCGGCTGAGAGAAACATGGTTGAGCGAAAACTGCGAGCTCTTGCTTGTATAATTCTCTCTGGTTGTCGCCCTGCGCTGGCTGCAAGAGCGTGCCTGAAGAAAAGGTTCGAGCAGGGACACCGTTTATATAGCTGTGCGCTGCAAGAATGCGTAGCATTTCCACTGGTTCGCAATCATCGAATCGTGCCAGAATGGCGAGCCAATTTGCACCGAAAATGCTCTTCTTCCTTCGTTCACGCGTTCTACAGAAACAGGTCTGTACAATTTGCAAAAAAACGTTGAGGAAGCCTGCGGCGGTCATCGAAGCAAACAACGCAACTTCCTGGTGTGCTTCGCTGTACCTGGAAATGCTTGGCATCTGAACCCTCACAACCAAATGCATGGCAAAAGTGCACTGCCTCAGGCGGTCAAAATCAGCATGATAGTCCAACAACTCCTTGATTGAAGCGCCCCCACCCCAAACTTCTGAAGCAGAAGACGTGGAAAACGCTTGGCCCAAAGATGCATGTTTTCGCAACTGGCGACAGGTTCCATTAAAATGCTTTGAACAGTTGCAGCTTCCACGGCCTTGGGCTTATCCTGGTGCTTGCTTTCCGGTAGCCTTGCCTTACGTTTGTGTTTGAAGGAAATTCCATCAGGCTTCATGCCCCCTGCTGCCGCATTGCAAGATGACGCGGGCGTGACACCAACTCAAGTTGGTACCTGACTGGAGCTCATGGCCAATCTTAATCAGTTTCGCTGTCTGGCAAACCGCGCAAGTTCTATCCGAGTCATGGAGCCAAAAGCTTCAGCCGCGCGCTGTTCCATTCTCCTCATTCGCTAACATGGCACCCGCGTTAGCCAAAGCAAATTATTGCATCGGCTTGAAAAGTCGGAAGCCAAGCGAGATGCCATGTTGAGCATGTTGGCTTCAGAGGGTCGGAAATATCTGATCTAGTCTGCGTATTCTTAGCTTATCTAATCTTATCTAATCTAATCTAACCTAATCTATCTAATTAGTCAAATCTAATCTAGCCTAATCTTATCTGAGCTAATCTTATCTAACCTTCTCCCACCTAATCGAATCTAATCGACTCTAATCTTATCTGATATATTCTTGTCTTATCTTATCTAATCTAATTAAATCTAACCTTAGCTCACCTATGCTAACATAATCTTCCCTATCTATTCTAACCTGTCTGATCTAATCTAATCTAATCTATCTAATCTTGGGTTACAGCTGGAAGAGTTTCACGGCCCCTGCAACCACCGTTTCAACCACCATTGCTTTTAGCGCACCACGTTTGCGGCTAACAGCTGAGTTGTCCAGACCCTGACCTGTAGCGCCCTCTCATCCCGGTGACACGTGGTTTCCCTTGAGAAGAAGATCCCCCCAGAAAGGAAAAGAGCCGATCACCGTGGGGCCTGCGTTCTTGAAACCAATCACATAACCTACCTGACATAAGGAAATTCTAGGTGTACCTTCCCCATTCTTTCCAGGGATCCTTCTTGTCAGGAAACCATCAAAAACCCCGGGGGAAACAGCCGGGTTTTGAAAAGAACGAATGTTAAAATAATGGGGAATCACCCCCTAGAAAAGCGGGAACTCATTTCCACAACTGTATCTAGTAGACATTGTACTAGACGTGAACTGGAATTAACTAGTAGGGAGGTAGTTCAATTGGAATGTCTAACTTACGATGGATTTTAAACGGCCCGAAGGCGTTTGGTGAAAGGCTGACTAGAACTGACACAAAAGTAATAGGGACACATTTCAAAACAGCTGTCAACAGGATATTTTTTAAAGTTTCTGCCAGAGATTGCCGTGACGGACAGAGCCTTTCAATGACATGGAAAAGCGATTGTTGAGAACCGTGACAGACACAGGGCTTTAGCATCGTGGAAGACGCGACCTGTAAGAGCCGTGACGGATAGAGACTTTGAAGTATGTGTTTAATTGAACTGTATCTAGGCATTGAAATGGCATTCATGAAAAAAACAGTCTAGTAGCTTGTTTCGATTAACCAGCCCCTTCAAAAAAGTGAACCACCAATGCAAACATCAGGAATATGCAATTTGAGTTCTCTGGGGCTGTGCTTTGTTGTATTGTAAGTACAGTTTCACACGGAAATAAACCAATTCGACCCTTGTATCCTAAGTTATATGTTTAAGAATGACTCCTTTCCGCAGATGCGTTGTTTGACAAAGTTTAACCATAATTTCCGCCGAGCCTAGCAAGCAAACAGAGTATGTTTTGTTTCTTCTAAATGGCCGTTTAAAGGTAGTGACAAGCCGACAGAAGCCCAAGGAACGTGCAAGTTCAGCTTCTCTTGGTGAGCTGGATCCATGAAGCCTGACATCTTGTTTCGCTGGAGATGTTCCACATTCGTCCATTCTATGTTGCGTGTCAGCCATCAACAACCCGAGTTGTTTTTGGTTGGGTAAGCCTGTTCTCCAGACCGCGGGCCCGCGTCGTTCCCACGGAAATCTGGAGGTCTGTGGGCTCGGGGCCTGGGGACCTGAGTAGTTTTCCAAGAACTTACGCGGCCCAAAGGTTTGGAGCCTCAGATCGGGTCAAATGAAATCGGGCCGCGTTTAAGGCCAAGGCCCCAAGAAAGTGACCCTTCGTCCAAGTGGAGGTTGGGGGAAGTTGTTGGGGGCTGGGCCTTAAAAACCTTCTTCAGTGCAAACAAATCCAATGGCGTCCGAAGGTGCTAGGTCTCTTTGTTGTTGTTTGTTTGGGGGTTTTCGAACACGTTCTTCCACTTAGTATGTGGTGATGCCGATATTTCCGCGAAAAATCCCACAAAAAAACCGAGGGCTTCAGTTGAAACCAGGCGGTGCCTTTCCAGCCGCTGGCCCTGGCTGGGCTGACGCCCGCCCAGCGCTGGCTGGGCGCCTTCGCAGCGGCGCTCCTCGCGATGTCCGCGAGCTACGCGCTGTGGCGCCTCAGAGAGGCGCGACGGGGACCGGGAGATGCGCCGAGCAGAAAACGTAGACCCAAGGGGTCAATTTCTGAGGAAAAGATGAATCCCTTGCAGGTGTTTTCCCTAGGAATATCACAGAAGAAAACGTCGAATGTGTTGTGGGCGCCCCCCTTTGCTTAATTAGAAACAACCAACCGCCGTATATCCATTCAGCCTGTTAGGCCCGGTGGTGCAGCCTTTGGCTTAGCTTTTTGGCGCTGCTGTCGCCCTGCCTGCAGCTGGTGCAGTTCCTTGGAGTACACAGCGTTGTTGTTTTTTTGTGTTTTTGTTTTGTTTTTTGTTTCTAAAAAGACAAGGAAACAATCAACAGCTTGCCATTTTGTAATGGAGTCACAGCCAACTGTGGCAGACGGTGTGTAATTCAGCTATATCGCAAAGACCCGATGGGCTCCCTAAACAAGAGTTCCCAGACTCGAAAACAAGGGGGTCATCACTTCACTTTGGGTAATATGATCCTTGGTGTATGACCCCATATGCCAAAGGGGGCATGGAGACAGGTGAAAATCAGCGACATCGGAAGTGGGAATTCTTGGAAGGTGGGCATTTGAGGTGGGAAACCCAAACAGAAAGCTGGAGTTCGTGCCACTCCCCGAGGTGGAAGCTCCGATGGCTTAGCCACTCCTTCGTTTCCAGGAATTGGTTCCACGTCTGTTTCCACCGTGGGTTCCTGTGTGAAATCATGCCTTTTCCCTGGATTGAGGAAAGCGCGATCCCGGGAAACGAGAAATCCAGGGGTCAAGAATTGTCTCGAAACAGGTTGGACAACCAGCTTTTCTTCTTGTTGGTTGAAGAGAAACCGGAGGAACCATTTTGTTTCAAGGGAACGCAGACACTGACCATGTTGGGGCAACTTTCTGGGTCTTGCTAATGTTAAGCACAGACCGCCTGAACCTTTAAAGGGTTTCAGTGAACCATTTTGAGTTTATCTCGTTGTTTGGCCTACTCGCAACTCACCTAAGTGGCCATGTTGGTTCTCTCAACGTTTGTCATTGAGCCATTCCATCCTTGGGAAAGTGTCGGTCTCACTACCTGACAAGCAAGTTTTACTTGCGGGTCAGAGTCGGAGTTTTTTCACGCTGTGCCAAAGTGTTGAACTATGTCTTGGATTTGTACAGTTGTTTTGCCCAGCTTGTGTCCAGGGAAACCAAGCCACAGCTGTCTCCAACGTAGGAAGGAGTTCTTAAGAATCGCTAGGTCCCCCAGCTAGGTGCCCTTTTTCACCCCTTTTTTGGTGGGGAAGGTTCCCCTACTAAAATAGACAAAACCGGAAAAAAAGGGAAAAAACAAATCGGCACCCTTATTCTAACCTCTCAAATCTGGAGGACCTAAGTGTCAATTCACGTCTCAGGCACGGAGATCCGGTGTGGTTCGCGGACCGCTACGGGTACTTGCCCATGTGCCTGGTGCTTCCTTCGGTGGTGGTTTTGCTGCCGAAGTCTCGAGCGCGGTGGGCGCTGGCAGGGTGCCTCGGATGCGAGGATTCGCTTTTTGAGACGTGAACCGTGTAGCACCATGCACATTGACATAGGTTTGCTTTTTAGGTTGGCTTGTATATATATATATATATGTTTCACTGGTTTAGAATGGTTTTTTTCATTTCCCAGCGCCATCTGTTTTACTAAAAGGACACCTACGATTACGCCATCTGTCTACGTTCCTAGTTTGGTCTACTTTTATTCAATGCTCCCAAAGGTGAACCTAGTCTTCGAGCCTCTGGGTGGTGAGCATGTTTGCTTTGGTTTGGGAGCTTCCCTTCAAACAAAAACGGGTTTGCCTGTTTTCCATACTGGCCGGGGAAAACGCAGCCCCCTCGTAATTGGTCAGCATGCCAAGGGGCAAACAGAGCGATTCCGGGACAGAGGTGTTTGTTAGCACTTAGATGTTCAACCCAGCTTTGTAAGTGGATTAAAACTATAACCAGGTTTTCTGGGGCAGTCACCCCAGGTAGAATCATGGTTATTACCTGTCTAAGCACACTATCGAATGCCTGAACAAGGGAATCTCTCGGTTTTGTATATGTTTGAACCTCCAAGTCTGCCAATTTTGTCAGTTGGTGAGTTATCTAGGTCCCCCAGTAGTGCCCTTTTACCCTTTTTTGGGGAAGTTCCCCTACTAAAATAGACTAGAGCAAAAAGTTGGTACCCTTATGCTGAGCTCTCTACTGGACCCGATCCTCGAGCATGAACTCTTGGGAGTTGCAGAAGGGACTGAGCACCAGTGCAATGGGCCAATTGAGCCACTTGCTCAAAATTTGGGGATTGATGAAGGTGAGTAAGGGAAGGTCCCAGCCGTAACTGGGTTCGGATATCCGCCTTTTCAATTCCTTACATGGTTCGTTCACCATTTTTGCACCAGGGTTTGATTTTGACTCAATTGAAGAGTACTTGTGAAAGGCGACCCTGCCCTCCCCCTCCACAAATGGCAGGGGGTTCCTTTTGGTGTCCTTTGAGCTGCCCAAAAAGGGACCAACAAGGAAAACAAACAAAGCAGCACGTTCTTGCGCTTTCAGTTTGAACTAGCTAGGAGAGGCGTGGTTTTGGACGTGTGGTGTGATGTCGGCTCCTGGAGGCAACAATCATGCAGACTTCATAGAAGGGTTTCCCTTTTGACATTGAGGCAGTAGCGTGGTTCTGTTGGTTCTATAACAAAAGGGGAACTCTGTTAGATTTGTGGATGGTGTGTTGCAAACGTTCATTTCGCCAAACTACGCCGGGAATAAGACATGTGTTGCATCGTGGGTATTTTGTCTGCATTGCAAAAGGTGGACATGCAGGTGGCGAGTTGGCTCACATTCGCTCTAGACTGCGCCATCACTTGTTCCATTGACTTCCGGTACTTGAGTTAAACCCAGTTGCTGTGCCCAGACGCAACCGAGAAGTTGCAATGTGTGGCTCGGGCAGGTACTACAGCTTGCTTCTTTTTGGCTTTGGTGGACCATCTCTAGGTCCCCAGTAGTGCCTTTTTTGGGGGAGGGTTCCCCCACTAAAGCAGACTACAGAAAAAGGTTGGTACCCTTATTCTAACCTCTCTACTGGAGGACCTAGTTGACATTTGCCGATTCCTCAAAGCATGTCACGAATTTTGCGTTGCGTCCTGAAGTTACGGCCTGGACCATTTACACCCCGGGCCTTTGCGTACACGAATCAGAGGCAAATGGGAGTGTCTCAAAATAGGGACCCCGCCCCCAACAAAAAGATCAACAAGACTTGGTGGCGCAACCAGCCATCCGGTTCCTTAGCCTTTTGGCCTTTAAGTGTAGAAGTGTTAGCTTCCATTTAACCCGCTCAAAGTTTGTCACTTTTAGAGGGGGGTCTGAGAGCAGCCCAGAAGAGAGGTGCTTGGTCCTTTGGTTTTTTCCTCTTGACCACCCCGAAAGGGCTACGCACAAAACAAGACATTCCCAAACACATGGCCCAGGGGCAACGATATATTGCCGTAAAACTGCACAAGCAATATGGAAAAAACACAAACTTACACACGGGTGCGGATGTTGATACTCTTTGATTGTCACCTGTTGTTTTCTGGCCATTTGCAAGATGCCACAGCTGCCTGGTCGCCTTTTGGGGCAAACCCCGTTTTTTCTCGAGGAATCCCGCGCTAGGAGAAACGGGAAGAGAACATGAACTCTACATCGTTTCCCTTTGCCATTGATTATGACTCTGGGTTTCGCGCATTTGTTTGCGCTCCTGTGAGTAGAGGTACACTCCCGCAGACTCACGTAAGAGGCTCCCAGGCCTCCCTGAATGGAACCAAGTCTTCCAAAGGGGTCAAAGCTTCACTGTTAGTCTGGAACTGCCTTCGGAAAAATCGGGGCCCGGGGTTTCGCCTTTTTGCTCCTGTCTGTAGCACCGGGAATGATTTCCTTCGGACCAAAAAAAAAAGAACCACGGGCTTTGGCGCCGCGGTGGCAGGCCTCTGCTGGCGCTGTTGGCCTACCAGAGCCAAGGCCGCTGCCAGCTCTGGCGCAACGGCACGGATCTCTGGGCCGCCGCCGCGGCCAGCAATCCGCAGTGGCCAGGGCCCCGGGACCTGGGAGTTCTCGTCCCCAGCGCCGTCTGTTTTACCAAAAGGACACCTACGATTACGCCATCTGTCTACTTTTATTCAATGCTCCCAAAGGTGAACCTTGTACTTCGAGCCTCTGGGTGGTTTGGGAGCTTCCCTTCAAAAAAAAACGGGTTTGCCTGTTTTCCATAGTGGTCTGGGAAAACGCAGCCCCCTCGTAATTGGTCGGGGCAAACAGAGCGATTCCGGGACAGGGGTGTTTGTTAGCACTTGGATGTTCAACCCAGCTTTATAAGTGGACTGAAATTATAACTTTTTTTTTCTAGGGCAGTCACCCCAGGTAGAATCATGGTTTTTACCTGTCTACTAAGCACACTATCGAATGCCTGAACAAGGGAAGCTCTCGGTTTTGTTTAATTTTGAACATCCAAGTCTGCCAAATTTTCCAGTTGGTGAGTTATCTAGGTCCCCCAGTAGTGCCCTTTTACCCTTTTTTGTGGGAGTTCCCCTACTAAAATAGACTACAGCAAAAAGTTGGTACCCTTATTCTAAGCTCTCTATTGGAAGACCTAGCCATAAATTGGGGCCCAGTGGTCTGGCCACTGGATTTGACCTGGACTTATTTCTGGTATTCCAAAGCAGTCCCTGTAAGTTTCCTCTTCTATGCCAGGTCAAGCTGGGACTAGACCTGGACTCAGAGGGAGCCCTGCCACAACTTTGGAATGAAATTGGGGCACAGTGGCCATGCCATGAATGCGGCAAGACAATCTTTTGTTTATTTGCAGTGTTCGACTCCTGTGCCTCGCTTTGATGCCTCGAGTTGCCATAGACTTCCCGCTTGATGCACGATGAACGTTCCTGTAATTCAAAAATGTTTCTTCAATCTACTCGGCACACCGCTTGCTTGAGGCGGGTGTTTCTCTCCCAGTTCTTTTGTCTAAACGGCATGGTCATGACTGGTCATAACTGTGTGTGCGTTTGTCAGTCAACACTAGGGACCGTAAATGGGTTTGCTACCAGCTACTGTACAGTGCTCTATAAAAACAGACACACGCACAGAGACACACACGCAGAGACACACGCACACACACACCCACCCACCCACCCACCCACCCAGCCAGCCACCCACGCACGCACGCACGCACGTACATACATACGCACGCACCCACACACACACAACACACACACTCACGCTCACACTCACACTCACACTCACACACACACTCATACTCACACTCACACTCACACTCACACACACACACTCACACACACACACGCAGAGACACCCACAAAATCAGACACACACACAGGCACACAAGAAGAAGCAACACAGAAACACACACACACACAGACCCGGAGAGACAAACAGAGACACAAACCCATACAGATAGACACAGAGACGCACAGAGACACACAGAGACACACAGAGACACACAGCGACACACAGAGACACACAGAGACACACGGAGACACACGGAGACGCACAGAGACACAGAGACATCCACACACACAGACACACACAGAGACACACAGAGACACACAGACACACACAGACACACACACAGAGACACACACACACACACAGAGACACACAGACACACACAGACACACACAGACACACACACAGACACACAGACACACACACACACAGACACACACACACACACACACACACACACACACACACACACACACACACACACACACACCCACCCACCACCCACCCCACCCACGCACGCACGCACGCACGCACGCACGCACGCACGCACGCACGCACACGCACACACGCACGCACGCACACACGCACGCACACACACACACACACACCACACACACACACACACACACACACACACACACACACACACACACACACACACACACACACACACACACACACACACACACACACAGCGCACCCGCACATACGCAAAATACGCACATACGCAAAATACGCACAGACGCACAGACGCACAGACGCACACGCAACACGCACACACACGCACACAGGTAGGCAAACAACCCACAGCAACAACTTAGAATTGCCAGGCACGCGCATAGAATCCGAGAAGCTCCACGCAGATGAGCTTTTTGCCCTCTGCCAAGCATGTTTTGTTGACCTGCATACCTTTGGTTGCGGCCAAGACGCGTCGGGTCGGAATATGAAGTTTTGCCCCGGACTCCTAGGCCAGAGTTCCACCATCAGCTGGGAGCCAGGGCCTCACTTGGATGCTAGAACCCTTACTAGTTTTTTCAGTAGTGCCCTTTCTCAGCCCTTTGTTGGGGAGGGTTCCCCTACTAAAATAGACTACAGAAAGAAGTTGGTACCCTTATTCAAACCTCTCTACTGGAGGACCTAGCTGAGACATTAGATGCTCTCCAGGAGTTCTCCTTTGTTCACGTTTCAAGCAGAATGGCCTTTTCAAGCTCCCTGGATTCACTGGCACAACTAGTTGGGAATATTAAACAAATCGGCAAACCACGCGTGACATCTATTCAGACCCCCTCCCCTCGGAAAGATTTGTGGGGAGCAGTCCCAACCCACGCGTCATGCCGGGCTTCCTCAACCATCCTTCATGTTTTCTGAGGTTTTGTTTCTGGTGGCCTTATGGCCGGGTGGTGGGGGTGTATGGATCTCAAGTCGTTGTCTTTTACAACCACGGCAAGGATTCCAATTGTATGGCTGAAAAAGCCCATTGGCCTCCTGGCCTGGTGGGGGAGTATGGATCTCAAGTCGTTGTCTTTTGCAACCACGGCAAGGATTCCAATTATGTAGCTCCTGACAAAGCCATGACCATGGCCCACATGGGCTTCGACCATACAACTTTGGGAGACATGCCAAAACGCCGGGACCGAGCTTTGCGTTGGGCAATCTGTTTTGTGACGTCACGGGGGGGGGGAAGGGTTTGTGACGTCACCACGACTAGTGAAGGTCTTTTCAGAAGCTCCATGTCTGTTTTTGCGGGGAATGAATGATGTTATTTTGCCCAGATGTAGGATTAGGGTTCTGCATAGGGTTCTGCCTTTTGGGCAAAGAGAAGCCTTTTTCCAAAATAGCTTTCCTTGCGTTTGGAAAACTGACCGCTTTTGGATAGTTCCCCAATCAGCGACCTCCACGCGCAGTCCTTGCGGTCAGAGCATTGTTTAAATGGAAGCCAGAACACGTTTTTTTGTGGGAAACATTTTACATTGTTGTTTATTGTGGTTTAGTGGTTGAAATCCAACCACTTAGCTGCTAAAATTTGATTTGTTGCTCCCCTTCCAACGTCCACCAAGAGAAAACCGCCCAAAGAAAACGGGCCCGCTTTCCAGATAGCTGCCAGGTCTGCCTTGCCGCCTCCTCGCGGCACGCGGAGGCGGAAGCGGCGCTCCGCAACGCCTGGGCCCTGCGGCAGGATGCGATCACCGCCAAGGCGCGAGCACGCGGCGCACGTCGAACGCGCTTCGGGCGGTGGAGGCGTTTTTCTACTGAGTCCCCCAGTAGTGCCCTTCTCACCCCTTTTTTGGAGGCGGATTCCCCTACTAAAATGGACTACGCAAAAAAGGGTACGCTCATTCCAACCTCTCTACTGGAGGACCTAGGTCAAGGTGGATGGTTAATTCCAGGTTCTGGCAAGTGAGAGTCGAACGCTCACTAAGTGGCTTCCCTTTCTAAACTGAACCACGTTGAACGGCATTGCACCAACAAAGACGGTTAAAAAAGGAGGGGCTGTCTATTCTATATTGGGTGAATTGCTCAGCATATATAATATATTCGTTTTTTTGTTATACACATATAATTATATATACATTTGACATGTACTTTACAGATATATACACATACATACATACATACATACATACATACATACATACATACATACATACATACATACATACATACATACATACATACATACATACATACATATATATATATATATATATACACATAATGATACATATATATATATATATACACATGCACTTCATATTTATATATACATATATACACATATACACACACATAATGATATATACATGTACTTTATGCATATATATATATATATGTCTACATATGTGTACATATTTGTGTACATACACAACATCGACCTCCACATATTTCCCGCCCCCCCCAGCAGCGGCTGGATCCGTTGGATCGAGGCGCTGGGGCACCTGGAGGGCTTGAAGAAGCCGAAGGAGGGCCTGCGCTGGTTGGCCGAGGCCTTGGCCCTGGGGCTCTCCAAAAAGCAGGCGGGGGAGGGCGGGGGAGGGCGGTTCTTTAGTTTTATTTATTTATTTATTTGTTTTTTTTTCAGGGTAGAAGTCAATGGGCGCACTTTTCTTGGCATGGCCATTGCATGGTTGTTGGGAAACATTTCTCCCATTTTTGCTTGTTGGTTGAAATCCAACCACTGAACTGCTAACATCAACCAAGGCGCTGGGGTTCCGTAGTTGTTTCTTGTCTTCTTCTTTTTTTTGGTGTGTGTGTGTGTGTGTTGTTGTTTTTTTTGTTGGGGGGTGGAAGAAATGGGACAAGGGGGGTCGTTGTTTTCTTGCTTTTTTTTTCCCGGCGAAGACATGGGAGTCGATTGGGGCGGGCCTTGACAACCGCAAACCATGTGTAAACCATCAAACAGGTTGTTGGGTTGAGGGTCTTGGGGGCCATGTTGGGGTGGCAGTTTAGCAGGGTCAGAACCGTGTCCAGCTGTTTCGGGAAAGGCTTGGTAAAAACTGTTGTGTAAGCAACATTATGTTGTTTGTCCTGCAAGATTAGGGCGTTCCCAGTTGCCCAGCGGTACCCCCTTCTTCCGTCCCCAGGGGAAGGAGTTCGCGTGGAAATCAACAAAGATTGGTCCGTGCAAGTCCACATGTCCAAGGTTTTGCGGCATAGGTCTAGCTTTTCAGGGATCGTTGTTTTCCGATTTGGCTTACATATTTTAACTGTTGGTCTATGTTGGTCTTTTTGGTTTTCCATCATTTCCCCTTTCAACGAGACAAGGTGACACCTGTTTGGGGGTCTAAGTCCGGCCCAGAGACATTGTAGGCACTTGTGTCCCTTTAATTGGCTAGTTTGGTTGGTTCCACTGGTTTAGATTAGTGTTAATCTACTTTACCAAGGAAAGCCGTATTATGCATATCAAGAAGAAACAAGCTGTGAGCGTTTCACCTTTCCACTTTCTCATGGTGCATGTTTGGTCACCCATCAAGTCAACTTGCTGGTGCTCAGTTGGGAATGAGAAATGGAATGACCCTTATGAATCATCCAACTGGTGGTTTCCTTTATTCGGGAACCCAAGCCTGGGTTCATTCCATTTCTCATTCCCTACCTGTCGCACCAGCAAGTTAACCCAGATCCCAATGACCCCGAAATTTACGTCGTTTGCCCAAAGGGTTAGCCTGATATTTCTCTTATCATCTGGTCACCCATGATGTTAAGGTTCTCAGTTGTTCAAAGCGGACCTTTTGACCTTTTGGGTTTCCCTTATTTTTTGGCAACCATGTTTAGTAGAGGTCCCAAAAGGTGATCACCTGATTCTTTGTCCAGGTCCAATGAGGGCAAGAGAGGGTTGTTTCACCAACAACAATAACCCATGCAACTGGGTGTTTCCTTTATTCGGCAAAGCCTGGGTTCATTCCATTTCTCATTCCCTACTTATCGCACCGATCGCAAGTCTTTGGTTGTTCCACAAATTCTACAGCCACACCATGTTCGTTCCTCAAGGCCGCCTCCGCCCTGCACGACATGGCGGCCTTGGAGTCCCGCGCCACGGCCGAAAAGTGGGTCCGGCACTTCGTTTCCCGAATGGATTTACCTGACCCCTGCCCCCCTCAAAAAACACACACACACCAAAAAAAGACCGGACCTCCCAAAAGCAAAGTCACAAAACCGCAGAACAAACAGAGAACCAGGCGATTCCCTTGAACGGTGGATTGGTGGTTTGAGGGTGGTTCTTGTTGGCAGGGAAGCTACCCCCCAAAACCCCACCGCTACTTAAAACCAATTAGAGGGAAGCTGACAGGGAATTGACGGACAGTGTCAATCCGGAGGATCCTACTTTACCCAACATATACATGTGTGTGTGTCTCCTTTGAAGCGACGTCCGCTTCTATGAAAGAGGCGAATCAACGGTAGATGGGTTTCGAGCCTGGACAACCAACGCGATTGAAAGGGAGCACGTCATATCTGCTTCAAGGGTCCCTCTTTAGGTGTCTTGTACGTGAAACTCAAACACTCACATGTGTTTTTGGGGCTTGCATGGTTGTCGTTGGGAAACGTTTTACACTTTTGCTTATTGTGGTTTAGTGGGAAATCCCCACTTAACTGCTAAAATTTAAATTATTGCTCCCCTTCCAACGTCAACCAAGCTTCCCTGTCGGTAAGCGTGCGACGCAAAAAAAGCCATATGGAAACCATATTTGTTCGAAGCTTCCTCAAGGTCAAACCTGTTTCACACAGGTTCGACCTCGAGTCGTGGACAATTGTTCTGGAGAAATCCCAACTGCCAGGGCCCAGCGACCCCCTTTTTTGTCACCCGGCTTGCACCGAATAGTTGCGACTGGCAAGCTGGACCCGCGGAACTGTCATTTCCTGTTACATACCTGCATAGCATTCACCCCCGTTGCAGACCTTCAAACAACATTATACCCGTACTATACGGCTTTGCCTGCATCCACTTGGCAGGATGTATTGGTGTTCTGTTTGGTTCCATCTTGCTTGGCTAACGCTCTCAAAAACATGCTTGGTGAACATGAGACTCCGTGAGGAATGTCCACCAAACTGTTCCCCGCAAATCATTCCCATGCAGGGCTGTTCATTTCAGCCTGCGCTCTGGGACACGTGTGGCGTCCCGAAGAGTGAATTCCAGTTTCCTGTGGAGGTCCGATCTTTTGTCAACCAGTAAAAGTGGGGTAAGGACCACCGTCATCTTGGCTATTTGGCTGGCGCGACTGAAGGAAAGCAAGTATTTTCCTAACGGCAAAACCATTTACCGTTTACGAATCTTTAACTTTCTCGCAGGCAGGGTTGCATTTAGCTTAGGCACCTTCAGCCAGAAACTCTTTGAAGGCAAAATGGATATGGGTGTCAAAGTCGGAAAATGGATGGTGTCGAAATTGGGGGCCTCAAATGGTGGCTTTCCCGTTGGTTTCCCTTTAAACAAACCTAAGGAAGGGGGTGCTCTCCAAAACACAAGTTCAACTGGGTTCTAGCCCTCCATTGGTCGGACCTCTGTTTTGCAACGTATGTTGGGACGGGTTTGTCCAGGCAAGAAGAGGCCAAAGCTGCAGCGTGTCCTCGAGCTCTACAATCAATCCTTGCAGCTGGCTCCCAGACGCGGCCTCACGCAGGCGCGGGCTTTGATTTCCATTCGAAGCCCACGGCGCCCAAAAATTCAGGGCCTTGGGAACCTAGGTCTCCCAGTAGTGCCCTTGTACCAACCTTTTTTGGGGGAGGGCTCCCCTACTAAAATTGACCACAGAAAAAAGGGTATCCTGATTCTAACCTCTCCACTGGAGGACCTTGGGAACTGCGGACCCTTTGGTTCTTACTGATTGTAGCTACCCCATTCGCGGCTTGTGCCTCATTATATGGTTTCCTTCAAGCAAATCCCCCACGGTTCATTCCCAACACCTGGAGCGGTCATTCCCTACCTATCGCACCAGCAAGTGTTTGTCCTCCACGTTCAACCTAAAATAGACTACAGAAAACAAAGAGAGTAAAAAGTTGGTAATCTATGGTACCCTTATTCTAACCTCTCCACGGGAGGACCTACTTAAAGGGGCAGGGTACCTAGTAAGTGGTTAGTAACCGTGGTTACCCACTTACCATGGTTATAAGTCTCCTAAGTGGGTGAAAAAACCATAGTTACTAACCACTTACTAAGTACCCGATCGCCCCTTTAAGTAGGTTTACTTGCGCCAAGTCTGGGGCTCCCGTCCTCCCAGCCGCGCTCGACTGGAAACTCGCGCCAGGAGAGCTTCGGCCTGGCGCTGGCGGTGGCGGAGCGTTTCCCGGAGGCGGTGCAGGCGCTGCAGGCGACCAGTGACTACAGGTGTCCGTTTTGGTTGGTTTGCGTAAAAAAAAGGAACCAAAAAGGTTTAATGGGATCCCTTCCAAAAAATAGGTTGTTGGTTGGTGTTTCTTTTTGGTGGCCCTGGTTTAGATGGGGTTTATACCCCATTTACCAGGGAAACTCATTTTTTTTGTCAAAAGGCCACCTGTGCTTGGGACTCGGACCGGTTCTGTGGGATTCCAGGAGCTGAAATGGCCCATGTATTTTGCCTGGGGACGTTTGGATGTCCCAAATAGAGATCCTCTTTTTGAGAACTCGGATTTTTTTTGCAACTTCCATTTTGCTGAACTGAGTATGTTTTATGTTCCCCTGCTTTTAAAAGGAATCGATTTCACTGCTGGACATGGTTTCTCAGTTTTTCCACGGGGGCTGAAGCAAATGGAAGTTTGTGTTTGTTAATCGCATCATGAGGCGCATTTCAGGCTTAATGCTGTGGATGAACAGAATCAATTTCGCACCAGTGGGGACTGGTGGTTTATCAGCCATGACTTGTGGGGGTTTCATCTATCCCAGTGGTGCAGGATTTCGTCGACCCACCGTTTGTAGCAGCATATCTGAACTGTGTGGTTCGCAGCCATCCTTTCAGTTGTTTAGCCTTTTAGTGTTTATTGGGGATTTCCATTCAACCCACTACAAGCTTAACTTTTAGCAGTGGATCTGAGACAGCCCAGTGAAGAGATGATGTCTGGTGCACTCCAGAGGGCCTCAAGCAAGCAGTTAGCACACGGAGGTCCCGATTGTGGCCCACCCAGTTGCTGGGAGATCTCCAGATGTGTACTTTTGGTGGGATTTCAACAGGTGTATTCTAGCTTGCACCAAAGGACAATCATCATGTGTGTAGCATCCTACAACCCATTTCGTTTTAACCCAGTTAGAGTCACCCGATCTAGGACTCAGGACAGGGTGTCCTTCAGAAAGAAAAAGAACAGAGGCTTGAAATGACTCAAGATCAACCAAAAGGACACCTCCCCAACATTTGGAAGAACTCAAATTGGACAGCAGAACTCTAACAGTAAACCAACACTTCCGCGTGCACCCACCCCACCACCCAACCCCCTCACCAAAACACTCCCACATGTGCCCCCCCACCCCTCCCACGCCCCACCCCCCCCACCCCCCCACCCCCCACCCCCCCCACCCCCCCCCACCCCCCCCACCCCACCCACCCCACCCACCCCACCCACCCCCACCCCACCCAGCCCACCCCCAGCAAAACAGCCAATCGCTGACCAAAGAGCCCTTCCTTTGCCACACCAGGCGGCCAGATCCCTGGGACGCAACGGCGCGGACCTGCACCACGGGCTCGGGCACGCGCTGCTGGCGCAAGGCGCGCGCGGGTTCGCGCGATCGCGTTTTTTCGCGATTTTCTGGGTGGCGCAGCCTGCTGGCCGGTTCCTCAGCTCTTTTTTTTAGTTCCTTAGCTCTTTCTGGCTTTTTAGTTGGTTTAGTCCCGGTTTGGAGGTTGGGTGTCCATTTGACCCACTAAAAGTTAAACACATAGGGGATTTGAAGGCAGCCCACCTTTTTTTTGGTCTGTCCGATCGAAGGATCAACTTACTTACCCAGGACTTCATGCGTCTCTTTCCGGGTTTGGAACACGTTAGTGGCCAAAAGAAAGTCTGGACTTCGGCTTTTCAACTCAGAGCATTTTAGTGGCCAAGAAGTTTGGGATTCAGCTATTCAACTTACCAAGGGAGTCAAATGCGGTTGCATGGCCACACTTCATTGCGTTGTTTGGATGTGAAGCATCACTTTTGGGAGTCGATCGGATGTCCGAAAGCCATTGGTCAAGCATTTCGGCCATTTGTACTGGGGTAGTCGAGGGGATAGGTACCTGAGTTGTTGGACATTGCCTTTTAGGTTGCCACGTTCTTTGATACCAAAGGGATCCAATGCGACCATGCAGCGGGAATGAAAATGTCAATATGGCTGTGGGTCAAAGCCAATGGGATCCCATTTTGGTTGGATTGGGTGAGTTCACCACCCATTATAGGCTACCTATTTGAGCCTATTGGATTGAATCGGATAGAGCCCACTGGGGGCTAAGCGATTTGGATTTTGAAAAGCCCGTGGCGAGATTTTGATCATATGTCGACGCCCTGGGTGCCTTAGAGGCATCCTGCACTTGACTCGTTGCTGTCACCTGGGACTTCTCTCACCACCCAAAATTTTAACCCCCAACAAAAAGCGAAGGACAGGGACCAATTATAATAGCGAAGGGAAGTTTGCCAAGAAATGGCGAAATTACAAAAATGCATTTTGTTGTTTGTCACTTTCATGGCGTTCTTTGTCGATAGCGAAGCGGTCATCCCCGAGTCTGTCGAAGGGAGCTTTCCTATATCCACTGATCGGTACCACTTGCCGAAGACAGAATCGCAGGGATTCCTCCATTTCCCTCTGTGGATCCTCCAAAAGTGGCAGGGAAACCACAAATTGATCAACTTTTGACTCGGGGAAATCCAGTGACCCTTTGAATCGTCGGGTCGAAAGTTGGACTCGACAGAGGTCCATCGCCGAGTTCATGCACCAAAAATCCGATTGGGAGTCTGGTGCGAAGTACCAAACCGCCAACTTCGGATTTGAAGGAACACGCACATCAGGGACACCCTCTTTAATCGGACAAAATAATTCACAGGATAGGGTTTGGGCCATGGCGGGATCTTGAGTGGTTTCAATATGGCGATGGCGCCTCATTTTTTCCGGAGCTTCTCAAAACGCGCTGAGTTCTTTGGAGGCGCCTGCTCTCTCTCTCTCTCTCTCTGAATTTCATGGCTTTTGGCTCTCCAAGAGGACGAAACGTGGCTATAAATTGTCAGCTTTTGGAAAGGCCAATTGAAAGTGAGCCTTCTTTGGAGGTTTGTGGGTTGGAAACCTGACGCCTTTCAAATGTTGGCACTGTTTGGGAAAGATGGCTCTTTAGGCACAGCCCGTTTGGGTGTAGTAAAACCCTCTGAAACAAGAAGCAGGAAGCTCCCCACAGAAGTCACAAAGTGGGGAGGGGCCGGCTGAGGGTTTTAGCTCAGACTCCCCAAGCCCCTACTTCCCCCAACCCCCCCCCTTCCCCAACCCCCCCCAATCCCCCCAACCCCCCCCAATCCCCCCAACCCCCCCCAACCCCCACCCCCTTCCCCAACCCCCCCCCCCTCCCCTCCCTCCCGACGAGTAGCCTCACCCAAGGCCGCGCAGCGGAGGCGCAAAGCGCCTTTGAGGAGGCGCTAAGGCTGCGTCCCAAGTGGACCGAGGCCAGGCGAAAGCGCGAGCGCCAGTGTCCTGTACCTGGGGATCCGATTTTTTGTTTCAGGTTTGGAGTTGGCAGAATCGGCGGAATCGCGGGAATCGTGGAGACCAGGATTTGTTTCTTCTGGACTGAGTAAATTCAGTATTGTGCCCCTGCCACTTAGCTTGACGATAAAACAGCGGAGAAGCGGTTTCTTCCGTGCGCTAATTTGTGCTTTTTCCCGCCTAGTTTAAGAGAGAAACGGGAACCCTGGCACGGTGTGAAAGCCCCACCATGCATGGGCAACCATACTTACTAAAACTGAAGCCAAGCAATATGACTTTCTAGTCAGGTCGATAAATTCAACAATGAGTGTGGAGTTGGTGCACTTTCTAAACAACCAAAAGGCCCATCACCAAGGCTCTTTAGGCTCTCAGCTGGGTGGGGTGGGTCTTTTGTGGGTAGTCGGTGTAGTCCGTCTTTGGAGCATGTGTGACTAGATCATAGTGCACAAAAAGCTGCTGACATGACATCCCACGGGTGAAGGTTTGTTCACACTCCTTTTCACATAGCGAACGTAGTGTTTCCATTGAAACATCCAACAAGGAACATGGGATTCGGATCCAAGCTTTGAACTATTCAGAGCACGTGTGTTTGGATGTGTCAGCGCAGGACCCCTAGAATGGTGGCTGTCCTTGTGGTTTCTTCAAAGCCGGCACAACGGGTAGCCTCAAAAAAAAAACACCCATGAAACTCGGGCAAACTATATGACCTCACTGGCGGCTTGTTTGTGACCTCACTGCTTCCTGTCCTGGGGCTCGCACGAAATAGTTCACCCAGACCTAACCCTTGCTGGGCCCAGCTTTCGCCAAGAAATGAGGGCGTTGCGCCATCTTCCGCCCAACTCAACTTCAGGTTTTGAAGGGAAAGCAACAAGAAAACCATTGCGGGTCCCCGAATTTTCACACGCCCCAAATGTCTCAGGTCCTGAAGGGGACACCCTCCCTCTCCCTTGAGGCCATGCAGGGACTCCACGCCGCGCGCGCGGCTCGACTCCCCAAGCGCGGGAAAGGCGCAAAAGGTGCAACGCGCGCAAGTCGCTGCGGTGGGCAACGGGTCTATCGAGACTTCCTGAGTTCCGTTTCGGACTGTCGTCACTTTTTCTGGAGGACCATTTTAGGGGCAAGCAACGAGTTTGGACTTGTTTAGTCGATCTACGGTTGTGAGAATCTCACGAAACCAAGCAAAAACACCACGTCTGGGTTTTGGCGGGGTGTGTTTGGGCGCAAACCTCCCCGCGAAACATCCGAAAACGACCCGAAAGAATCACAGACTTGACAAGGGCTTGAAAAGGGGCGCCAATTTGTCCCCCACTCGAATTTTGTTATGGGCCTTAAAGAAAGGAAGCCAACAACTTTGTCACAGCTGACCCCCTCCCCTCCCCTCCCCTCCCCCCCCCTCCCCAACCCCTCAAAACCCGAAGGCATTTGTCGGACATGGAGGGCCTGGAGCTGGGACGCTGTGTCCTGCGACACCTGCTGGAACCCGTGAAGGAGACGTCCAAGAAACCCAGATAGGTTCCAGTCGCTGCAATGAATATGTTGGTTATTTTCCCCTCTTGGTTTTGAAGGAAACGATTTCACTGCTGGAAATATGATATCATTGTTTCCAGGCGACTTGCTGGTGCTCAGGGAATGACCTTTGTCAGTTGCCCAAAGCGAATCGACCTCGACTAAAACAGACGTTTGGGTTTTTTCCTAAGTTGGCAAACATGTTTGGTCACGACGACCAAAAGGTTAACCTGTTTGTTGGGGGGCCTTTGGGCAACTGAGCTGGTTCCCATTTGGGGCAATTAATGCTATGGCTCGGTACCCAGGGGAAACTAAAGGGAATGAGTTGGAATGACCCCGATTTCAACCATCCAAGCCATGGATTCCTTTATTCGGGAATCCCCAAATGGTTCCTACCTATCGCACCAGCGCTTGCTAACCCAGATCCCAGTATCCGTCGCTTGCCCAAAAGGCTGGCATGTCATTGCACTTGTCATTTGGACAAGTGAGAGCCACCACTCAAGCGCACTCAAGTCTCACTTGCCCAAAGCCGACCTTTCAATCTGTTGGTTTCCCCTGATTCGATCCATATTCAGCTAGGTCCCCCAGTAGTGCCCTTCTCTCCCCTGTTTTGAGGGAGGGTTTCCCTACTAAAATAGACTACAGAAAAAAGTTGGTACCCTTATTCTAACCTCTCTACTGGAGGACCTGGTCAGTTCAGGTTCCAAAAGGTTAAGAGTTTGCTTCCAGGTCTTTTGGGCAAGTGAGTGAGGGGAAAGCCCTTGTCTAATCCAGTGGATCCCAGGCTTCTCTTCAAACCATTCGTCAGGGCTTTGGGATACGCAACAACATCCCATGTATGAAGGGTATATAAAACAAACCCCGTTTTTTTTTTTCTGGACATTTTGGACCTTGTCTTGAAATGGCTGGATTCCTCTTGCTTTTCCCAGACCGTTCCCAGCGGTACTTTATGTGGCTGTGGGTCAAAACCAATGGTACCATTTTGGGGTAGTGCACCTCCATTTTAGTCTTTAGTGGGGATTGGGATGTTCACTGGGGGGGTTTTGACCCATGGCCCACGGCCATATGTGTATATATATATATATGTATATTTGAGGGTACACTTTTTTGGCTAGGAAATAGGAGCCATCCACACGGGTGTTCAAGTACCAAGAGGGATCCTTTGATAAGTTTCAAGCGGCTTAGCGCTCATGAAGCCTACTGGGTGGACCCAAAACGCATCAAAACGCCCTCCAAAGGCACTGGTGGGATATGGAAGACACGCGAAGACACCTCTCAGATCTGCTGCTGTTGTGCCTGTGATTTGAGGGGATCCCTTTTGATTCTCTTTTGCAGGGGATCAACAGTCACTCACCTTGGTGTTCCCTTACTTTTGAGACACACCCTTCTTTGGGTTCACCGGAAAGCAGCGTCGGACCTGTTTCTACCACGCAGGAGCCCTTGATCGAAATGATCATGAAGGCTTTGAAGGTGGTGGATCAGCTTGCCACCGGGACAAAGGAGTCAGTTGCTTCCATTTGCTTTTCAGAATGTATTCTCACTTCCCTCTTGTTTTTGGCAACCCCCCAACATAGTGGATTTCCCGTTAAACCAACAAAAAAAAAGAGCAATTGGAGGCCTCCTGAAACAGGCAGACCCAGTTGGGGAATCACTCGTGATATTTCAATTCTCTGGGGGACTCAAGCACATGGATGGATCACATCCAAGGGGTCGGAGTTCCCTATATGATGTTTACCCCTTTTCGATAGTTTTTGCTCATTATTTTGGGGGCGAATGTAAAGCGTGTACAAGGGACAAAGAATATAGGGCACCCTTCAGGTGGGAGTATGTTTGGCCCACTAGGTTTTTTTTAATTGAAAAAAATCCCAACTGGGGTTATTCCTATTATGACCATGGTTATACTATTTACTAAGTTGGTTGAACAAGAAACATATTTTTCCCAAAACCCACCCTAAACTGACCTTCAACCAATCCCGCCCCAAACACACCCCAAAACCCACCCCTGACATACCCTAAACCTGCCGTAAGCCCGCACTAAAGCTACCCTAAACACACTTTGAACTCACTTTAAACCCACCCCTAAAGCCCACCCTAAAACGCACACTAAACGCATCCCAAATGCATCCTAAGCCCACCCTCACCTGAAGCCACCTGTGAACCACCATAAGTTATAAGCCCGCCTCAGCCCACCCCAACCCGACTCTAAACCCACCCTAAACTCACACCCTACAATCACCCCCTCCTTCTAACCCCCAAGCCCTAAGCCCACCTGCAACTATACACCAACCCTGAACCCACCCTAAACCCACCGGACAAAAATCCACCAAACGTCGGGAAAAATATCGAAAACAAAGGAAGACCTTCTTTTCTCTCCTCGCTGACACAACACGAGTGGGAATTGTCGATCCATTGCACTGACGTTGCCTGGTTGCTTGGAGCTTGAAACAGTAAGTTTGTGGCTTGGATTGGTTATACACATGTGTTGTGATTGAAACTTTAGATGCAGAATGTGGGCTTGGGCTTGTTGTTGTTCTTCCTTTTCTGTATGAAGGTGCCACCCATGATGTTGAGTAGTTCCAATTAAACGGACACCCTCCATTCTTTCGGCCCTGCTTGCTGAGTAAGTGCAATTGGATGGTCTTAGCTCTTGTTTCGGGATGCCAAGCACTATACTCCTGCGGCTGTTGAAGGGGCCCGCTCCCTCGGCCCTCCGAGGGAGCGGCCATCCTGAAAGTGGAGGCAAGTCATCCAGACATGTCCACTTGCCCAGAACTAGGTCCCCCAGCTAGGTGCCAACTGTTACCAACTCTTTTGGGGTTTTGGGTTCCGGGTTCCCCTACTAAAATAGACAACTGAAAAAAAATCGGGTACCCTTATTCTAATGTGTCTACTGGAGGACCATATGGAAGCTCCCAGGACTCCGTTTGAGGACTTGGTTCCATTTACGGAGCTCGGGAGTGTAAATTTCAGGAACTCCAATGATTGGTTCATGGCAGGAATCGACTCTACATGTTTCCTTCGTTCCTTCGATCCTTCTGCATGTGATTTTTTTTTACGCGGTTTCTTGTAGGCAACCAAGGGAATTTGCTTTGAACACCAAACGGACCACTAGCAGTAGCTGGCAACACAGCACCATAACACCACACATGGGACATCCAAACCTCACAAAAAGAAGCCCAGGTGACATCCCCAAGAGCCCCGGAATCCTCTGGAACCACTAAGTTGATCAGCCTTTGCAGGGGGAATTCAGCGACCCCTGGCTGTTGGGATAATAATCTCAGGTGATATCCCCAACAGCAGGCCCCCACTTCCGCGGAACCTGACCTCAGAGCTGCCCTGGGTGCCACCCCAGAGCGCCCTTTTTCCAGGCTTACTTGTCGCTTACTAAGTAGAACCGATATTAATCAACCGGTCTGATACTACTAAACTAGTTGGTTGATTAACATGGGGTCAAGATTAGGTCGTAATGGATCTCTCTTTGTTTTTCCCAGCTGAAAGATGCTGAAAACTCGGGTTGATGGGGTCAACATCATAGCCCGGTTACCCACATAGAAGACTTTGGTGCATTTTGCTTGGATGTTAGGACTTTAACTTTTTGCCAAGTGATGGGTTTTCCGTATTAAACCGCTAAAAGTTAAACTTCTATCAGGGGAGCAGAAAGCAACCGAGAAGACGTGTATGCATGACTTCGAGTTTCTTAAGAATATGTTTATTTTCCCCTGTTGGTTTTAAAGGGAATCTATCACTACGTGACATATTTATTTATTTGTTTCCAGAAGTCTTAACCAAATGGAAGATGACAAGTGGGTTCTTCCCGGGCGCACTTCACACCCCAAGCGCCGGATCGATCGCTGAGGTGATTTGGGCCTTGGAGCAGCTGGGATATCTCATCGGCCAGGTGGTCAAGGCCCATCGAATCGGATCGGAGCGGAGTGAGGCACCTGGCAGTTGAGCAGTTCTAAGGCTTGATTCTCAAATGTCAAATGAAGTCCAGGAACTCGGGAAGCGAGAATCTATTCCGAAAATCTGAGGAAGTTGATTCCCCCATTCTCTTTACCCATCCGTCTCTTTAGAAACCACCGGATTTTCCAGGGGTGTGGCCCATGTTACCTTCTCTTTGACCACCTTCACCTAGGTCCCCCAGCTAGGTGCTCTTCTCATCTGATTTTTGGTTGCGAGGGTTCCCTGCTAAAATAGACTACAGAAAAAAGTTGTTACCCTTGTTCAAACCTCTCTACTGGAGAACTTAGTCACCCATTTTCTTGAGAAACCACAGGATTTTCCAGGGTCTGGCGCATGTTTGAAGAGAATGCCTGAGAATGGGGAGGGTACAGCTAGAGGAGTGGCTCGCAGAATTCTTTTTGGATGGCCTTGTTACGCCCTTTTTGGACTGTTTTCCCTTGATTAAAAAGTAAACACAAGGTCTCGGGCAGACCTATTTTGGGGAAGCCCATTTAGAGACAAGCCCATCTACCAAGTTGGGAGGGTTGAAGTTTTGCCAAGCCAAAAGATGAGCCGTAGCGTGGTTGGCTGGCAGGTCTGAGGATCTGGATTGCCACCAAAACTTTGGTGCATGATGCTTGGAAGTTAGGACTTTAACTTTTGCCGACTAATGGGCTTTCCGTATTAAACCACTAAAAGTTATTCACTTTTAGCAGGGCTTCGCAAAAAGCAACCAAGTTCAGGTCCGGGGATCTGCATCGCCACAAAAAGGTTCCCATTCCTTCCAGGGTCACTGGATGCCGCCAGCCACCCGCCTTTGTCGCCTCATAAAACGAAGAGCCGGCCTCTTGTCAGTTGAGGGTCCGACACTTTGCCCGCACCCAACGCATTGAGCATATATATATATATGATATACACATACATATACACAGCTGTCTATATAGTAAGTAACAATCACCTAGAGCTTCTTGCCTTTTGTTTCCTTCTCACGGTCAGGCGGCAAACGTTTATAACCGTTTGCAAGGGGTCCAAGTCTGGCCCAGCCGGCGTGTAGTAACCCTTATACAAGTGCCCTTCAGCTTTGGCATCACAGGCCTTCGTTGCTTCCATTTTGCAAGGGCTTCTCGAACCACCAGTTTGATGATTTCCTTGGCTCCATTCAAACCTCCAGGATAGTTACCCAATCAGCGACCTCCACGCGCAGTCCTTGCGGTCAGAGCATTGTTTAAAGGGAAGCCAGAACACGTTTTGTTGGGAAACATGTTTTTCCCATTTTTGCAAATTGTGGTTTAGCGGTTGAAATCCAACCACTGAACACTGCTAAAGTCTATTTAATCTTGGCTTTTTCTCTTCCAACGTCAACCAAGAAATTCTTTCCAGGCAAGATCTCCGGCAAAGCACATAGGTCTTGGTGCCGATATTGGAGAAAGCCACCAAGATGATGCCCACCTGGCTGCTGTCAGTCATCGCCGCCAAGTCTTTGGCTCAGGAACTCAGTCGGCTCGCAACACCTTCAAACCCTTTGGCTTCCTCTTGGGTAGCAACACCTTGGAAATCTCGTGGCTTGCCCTTCCCGCGTTAACTTCAAATATCAGCGTTTGGACTTTTGATCCGAAAGGAGCCTCATTTGTTTGCACTCGTTGAGCTCAATGAAGCCCAATGCGAATCGACCTGCAACAACCTTCCGGGACTTCACTTTCCGCTCATAGCTGGTCAGGTCAAGTGTGAACCCTAACTTCGGTCCAATTTGGACTGTTTGGAGCGAAACGGGATTCTTTCCGAGTATGAGGGAGCTTTCGGAAAAAAAAAAAAAAAAAAAAAAAACATGTTGGGAATCGTTTAAGCCAACACTAAGCCTGAGCTTGAGTTGGGATGAATTGTATTTTCTGTCTTTGGCCTTGTTCTCAGGACCTTGTTGCGTGAGACCCCGTAAGAAACCACCCCGAGTTTTTGAGCAGGGTTTCCAGCTGCAAAGGAATCCCCGCGCAAACTGGAGTGCACTGTCCCGCAAAGTAGGGTGGGTGGGGGTTCACAGCGGCTTGGGGACGATGATTTGGTCAGGGGAGCAATCAAGACCCGAAGTGAAGGTTAACTTCCATTTGCTTAAGAATATGTTTTTCGTGTTCTCCTGTTGGTTTTAGAGGGAATCTATCACTACTTGAAATGTTTTTCATTTTTGCCAGGGGTCTTAACCAAATGGAAGTTAAGAGACGCCTACCAATGGCTGCTGGGTAGACCACTTTAGTAGCTTTGGAGTTTGGGGCATGCAGTTGGGCAGTTCTTGCTGTTTGTTCCGTTCGTTCTTTTGGTCATTCGGAGGGCCAAGTGTGCGCGTCCATGTCCCCTGACTTAAGGGAATGATATGTCCCGAGCACGGGCCGTTTGTATTTGTTTAACAGGATTTCCCATTTCTGAGCCCTTTTAAAAGTGGTAGTTTTAGACAGTAAATCGTGTCACAAACGTCGGCTTGAAACTGAGTGAAATGACTTTTGCCTCTGAACGGAAGACAGTTAAGATGGCCTGGTGCACACCCCGTGCCGGGCAACCACCAGGATGGGAACCATGCCTTTGATTGGTTAAACAGGGGTCCCTCAATTCCCTCGAGTCAAAAGTTGATCACGCGACACCTGGCACCCCAGTAGCTGCCGTTCATTGATAGCTTTACAGTCATTCGAAGTTAGGGACAGTTGGATGCTTCAGGCAGAATTTCCTTGGCTAGCTCCTTTGTCAAAAGCCTTGAGGATGAGCTGGAGGGCTTTTGGGGCCAGACATGGTCCAATTAGGATTCCTCAAGCCCATCAAACTGCCTGGAGTGTTCAAGACCGCTGTTATATCCCCAAAAGCAAGGGGTCTTGCAACTCCTTTGCTTGAGGCTCATGGATACTCAAGGTGCTCTTCTAACCAGCTGTGCAGGGTTGTCCAAACCTCAGCCCTTAAGCTTTTCCCGTCCAAACATCCGTCGAACGCAGTCTTGCAAACTGGGCGGAATCCGCGCGGCCCAGGCAATGTGACGAGATCATCGGTGGAGAGATGCTTATTTGAACTTCGCGATTCGAGCGAAAACTGTTTGGTTTCGCTTGGAGCCCCAAAACGGCAGTTGCTCGAATTGGCTGCAAGCGGAAAACTGTTCCATCTGGGTTGAGTTGGCTTGGATGTTAATACATATTGGCCACGCCCTTCCGTTCAGAGTAGTCCATATGTGTGTGCGTGTCTTTGTGGGAGCTTCCCTTACAGGGTAAGTGCTGTAAGCCGTCCCGGGTTGATCTAAGTCGTCCCGGGTGAGTGTGCCCGTTGTGTTTGTGGATGTAAGGATAGTTGTCTCAAGCATGTCATTTTCTGAAATCGCATAATTCTGTGCTGTGCGCATGCAAAATGTATGATGTTCTACTTGAGGTATCCTGACAGAAAGGTGCCCATGAGATCCCAGATTCATAACATCAACATTTGGTCGGCTTCCATGTGCCGTGTGCATGCGTGTCTGTTCACTGCCACTGGGTGGTTCTCTCTTCTCGTGCCGCAGCACTTGAAGGTGTCGGGTGCGGCCCGGAACCGGTTGTTTTTTACTAGCCCTGGCTTGGCTTAGCCCTGGGGCTGGCTGGTTGGTCCGGCTACTTGGTGTCAGGGCTGATGCGGTGAAGGATAAGAACCCTTTATTTGCAGTGTGCCCAATAGGGTTTAGCCCGGGAAAAGCATTCAACATGAACCCAAACCGATGAGTTTTGAGCATGTGCGTGCAGTGTGCGGTGAATTCTTGGGGTTGGCAACATCGCCCTTCCAGTTCTGTTCCTATTGTGTTTTGCAAAAAATGGGGTGACTTAAAACGCATGGGGTGACTTATACGGATATGCGTAGTTCCAAGCGGCTGGGGATGGCTGGGGTGACTTAACGCGACGTGGGGTGACTTACGACGCCCGCTTGTAGGTTGTTGGGAGGGAAACCAAAAGGACTCCAACCAGTTGTTTTTGGGTGCCAGCTCCATTTTGAAACACGCCCTTCCGGAGCGAGGCCAGAGAGGCCCCCAACTGCGAGCCGGCAAAGCGAGCTTCCTCAGGGCGAAACGCGGTGCGGTTGACCATCTTCCGGGAGAAACGAAAAACATATCTTTGCAGTAGGGAGTGGTGCGCGCACCCCTTGCTACTTGTACCAGGCTTTAGCAATCCAAACACGGGAGGGTGGCTAGACTTGATTTGCTTGTTCTTGGAAATTGGATATCAACCTCTTCAGGAAGCAAGCGTCCGAGTGTTGCCATGTTCCCTGTCACACTATTTACACGTTATGTTCCCGAATTGCGGGCCAGCCGGCAGTGGTTTAATGTTGGGAGAGGGTGTTGGCGTAGCCCTTTTAGAGTTTGGGAATCTCAGGTCCTATTTGCATGCCCGAAATGATTATCCTCTGAGTTTAGTCTACTTTTACAGGATACATATACATATATACATTTAAAATAGATGGCGATGGAGTCGAGGCCCCTCTACCTCGACAACCCACTGATACGGGTATGCTGCTTTTGGGGTATGCAAGTAGGACCTTGGAAGCCGTGTGGGTGCTGTTGCAATCAAGACGATACCTCACGAGCACCACCCAAATTATGCACTAAGCGGCAGCCCTTGCTGTCGCCCATCGGTGTTGGACGTGGGGTTCAGGTTATATACCACCTCCGGTGATACACAGTCGGGGGATGGAAAGCAACCACTTCATCTCCCAAGAGTCCCCATGCTGAGGAGTTCTGATTTGTTTCGCCTGGTTTCCCTTGATACCCAGATTTCCCACCGTGGCCTTGTTGAGTCCTTGTGTAGCACCGGCATTCAAAGTAAGATGGTACTTTTCGAATGTGAGGTTGGGTCAAGATTTCCAGTAGTCTGTGGGGGGAGCTCGCTGTATTCTTTTGGGACAAAAAAGTAGCCTTGACCGTGATTATCCGTGATGCTTGTGGACAACATGAATTTCAAAAGGATGCGTACTTTCTGTGACGAGAGGATCACCTTTAAAGAACCCCTTGGAGTTAACATGGAACCTGAAACAAAGATAATGCCCCCAAGGAGATCCCTTTGCAAGTCAAGTCTTGTGGGGGTTTTAGGTGAATCCTGGTGAATATCACTGAAGTCCACCCTCCATTTACACCGCAGACTGGATTAATGTGACTTTGTGCCAACATAGGCGACCCCAAAACTGGTGAAGCTCCTTTTAAGCCAACCCAAACAGGACACCCTCTCATCCGTTTGGCTGAATATCGCAGAAGCCCAGCTTGCACCTTCCGCGTAGTAGCGTTATAAGCCCGAGGATCATGCAAGCCAAAGCGGGCGTTGCCACACCCTTGAAGACGGCCTCCGACCCCGGGGAGTCGCCTGACTGAAGCTGGCGCAACGTTTTTCTCGTGTCATCCCTCAGATTGTGTTTTGTGGGAATTGGTAGTCCCTATGTTGACTGGGTCCAAGCTGGTGCCATTTTGCGTGGTGTCATCCCCAGATTTCCATGAAAAGTGGTGGTCCCTATGTTGGTTTCAGGGAATCCCGAAGTCTAGTTTTACCCTTGCCCACTCCCGAGCTTCATCCTCCTACCAAATATATTCATGTCTTTCTCAACAAGTCGATCCTGATTTTTTGGGGACAAGGGGCAGCCACATCCACAAAGTCAGAGCTTGGGGAATCATTCGTAGTTTTGTCCTCAGCTCATATCCGACTGTTCGGATGGTTTAGGGAAACCACGAAGGCAAAGATGCAACCCATATGCCAACTACATACTCCACATTTTATAACATTTCAGCATATTTCAGCGATCTCCCTTGTTTCAGGCTGGTGATTTGTGAGAATTGACCCGGAAATCTCAGTCCAGGGATCAAGCTGTGGCCGCAATAGGTGGGTTTTGGTTCACTTTCTCTGTCGCTAGAGAAGGCAACTCCATCGAAAGGCGCCTGTCGAAGCAAAAAGACGTCATCCGCTCTTGAGGCTAGTTGCCACCGTATAGTCACTGCTCCTTTAGAAGAGGAATCTGGCCCCGCCCTTTTTCCCATTCGCGATCTCCTGGATGCGTCCTCTTGAGCACTATACGTGTATGTTTTGCTCCTTTAAAAGTGAGAAACTGGAGTTGCTGCCGTGCCACTTGAGCCCCTAGTTGCCTCCGCCTTCCAAAAGCACAGACGCAGAGACGTTTGGCCTAGCAAGTGACACCATCATGAATCAACTACTGAAGGGGTCTTCGCTGGCATGTAGCCATTGGAGTGTTTCTTTGAGTTTTGCCCATGGCTTGATTTTGGGAACAATGCTCAGAAGTAGGGAGCCGAATCGGCGGGCGAAGAAAAGTTGACTCGAGGTATGTCACGGGCCTCTTCAAGGCGAGCGGATGAAACCACAGGTGAGCCATCATCAAAACTCGTTCGGGTAGATGAAGATCATAATCCAAACCATGCCTAGGTGTATTCGCCTACTGTTTACCTCCTTACGTGGTTCTTGGTCCATTTTTAGCTACAGTTGGGGACATTTTGCAGCCAAGCAGCCAAGAGTCAAAGGCGCTTAAGGGGCCTGAAAGCTTGCGACGGGGAACCCCAGCCGTTTGGTTCCTTAGGTGTTGAGTGGCTTGTGGGTGTGTCGAAAGGTGGTTCGGTTTCCATGTCACCCACAAAAGGTTGAACTTTTGGTAGGGGATTTGAGGACCGGCCCAGACGAATGTCAACAACACAGCTGTTTGAAAGAAACATGGAACCCGAAGCGCTATGACTCCGCTTTTTGCACCAAGCTCGTCGTTCGGCCAGCAATTTCAGGAATGATCCACATTCCAAAATGGCACCGCGATATTGTTCAGTTCATGTTGGTGGGAAACTGCCAGTGGGAAACTGTTGTTGGGCCAATCCACTCAGGAAGTAAGACTTGGGGCTCAGGAACCGCTTGTGGTGTAGTGCTTGAAAGATGCAATGTTTGAACCCGGTGTGTCACATGTGAATAAGCGGGTGCCAATCTGCTACCATAGCTGTCCTTTTTGGTTGGTTTGCTAGAAAAATCAATGGCGATTCCTGGTTTACCTGGTGGTTTAACCATCTACCAGGGCCATCTATTTCCCCGAAAAGGACAGCTATGTCTGCTACCCTTTCCATGGAACAATAATTTAGGGGTCTCCTCCAAAAAAAATACAATCCGAGTTGATGTTGTGCTTGTTTGGTGTAACCCAGATGTCGGCCAAGAACTGAATGGAACAAATCGGCTTCTTTTGAAAGGGGGCGCCTGATATATGTCACTAAGTGAGAAATTGGCTCGATGGCTCAACTGTAATTGTCTGGCTTACCTGTCCAAAGTCTGACGTGTCAATTCAGTAGTGCCCGGTTGGCTAGGGTTTCTCCTGCAAAGCGACCGGATCTGAGCTCTAGTTTTTGGATGCCTGCTTGTTGTAGTGTCATCGCCTGGACAATAATCCGGGTCATGTGGGGCCACCCCCGGGGTTTATACGGTCGCCTTTGCATTGCGGCATTGCGGTTTTTATATGCCCTTTTACCGTTTCTTGTTCGGGGGGGAGGAATCCCTTACTAGAATAGACTACAGAAAAGAAAATAATAAGAAGAAGCAAAAACCAAACATCGGGTACCAACTTATTCTATCCTTTCAAATCTGAAGGACCTAGTACCTCGTTTGCGCCTCAAGGTCGGGCAGACCAAAGGCTTACTTCAAACCCACTGATCCGACAGCTCCCAGTCCGGCCCACCAGGAGGCGATGGTGAATGCGACCGCCGAGGTCATTGCGCACTTTGCACCTTGAAATCAAAGGGAGCCAAAAGCACCGGGGAGGGGGGCGGGGGAGGGGGGCAGGGGGGGGGAGGGGGGGGGAGGGCGGGGGGGGGGGGGAAGGGCGCCACTTTGGGTCTGAAAATCCCACACCCCCAACCTGCAAAGCCAACGCATTCCCCAACCCCACCACACCACACCCCGCCGTCCCCCACTTTCCAGGTCTCATTTTCGATCACTCCTCCTCCTGCGACCGACTCGTCGGACTTGTGCGATGCTTTAGGTCATGGAGGTCTTCCGGGAGGCGTTCCCCACCCACATCCTGCCGCTGCTGCACCAGGCCGAGGAGGGCTCCTTGGCCCCAACGAGAAGTCGCGAGCCGCGTTGGCGCTGCTCCAAAGAAAAACAGAAACAAAAAGCAAGACGTGGCGTTTGGTTGGGCCCTTGGTTCCCTTGAAACCAGATATTATATATATATATATATATTCGGGTGGGGGGGGGTTCCCTTGAAGCCTTACCTCTTTTTTGTTTGGAATGTGTGTGTGTTTTTGTGCAGGCAGGAACCCCAAGATGAAGTTGCACCACGCCCAAACTTCCCCCAAGGGCTTTCGGAATTTGCTTCGGGACCTGTGGATGCCTTGTCTTACTGTGCAAATCCTTCTTTTCAACCTGCAAACCTTACTTTTGTTTGTTGGAAAGTTTCTGGGCAACATTTTGCCAGATGCCTTCTGAGAAAGGACCCGCCAAACGACATGTTGGCCTGCTAGATTCTTGCCCTTGGCTTCAGATGCTATGAGCCACAAAGGCCGGCGGTTGTTCCAGGGTAGAAGTCCCTGGGCGCGAAGGGATCATGGGAGCGAAGGGATCCCTCGTTGGGCTCCAGTCCCGTTTTCGCCGGTGTGGTCGCTCTTCCTTTGGGTTCCAAAAGGCCTGTGGCGCAAAATTGGCGTGTTTTGGAGGGTGAAGAAGGGGAGAGCATTCAAGGGGTGAGGTGTAAAGTGTGGAAGGGCAGGGGGGGATTTGCAGGGCAATCATCCAGGCATATGTTCTTTCCAACGAGCCCTGCTGGAATGTGGGGGAATGTATGCAGGAGAGCGCGTTTTGCAGGGAACAAACACGTTTGTTTGAGAGGCTGACTTCGGACCACTCATGTGTCACACTCGCCATTGCGAAAGAGGAACATGAGGACCTCTGAAAGAGTTGTACAGCAGCCTTGCGCAACCTTTTCCGATTCCGGTCGAATGCCAGCTTTGAACAACTCTGAGTTCCCTTTTGGTTTCCTTTTGGTTTCCCTGCGAAAGCCACGCAAACTTGATGGCGAAACAAACTGCCCCCTCCCCCCCCAAACAAAAAGAAATGCAGGTTGGTGGGTGAAATCGATCATTTTTCCAATTTACAGATTACAAATCCAAGCCAACATAGCATTCAAGCAAGGGTTTGGACACACCAAAGCCGTCAATGGCTTCACCCGGGCAGCTGCATTGAACTGCAAGCCACGTTTGAGCAGTCAAGTCAGGGGTGGGTCGTCAAGCAAAGAGCACAGGCCCCTTGAAAGCGATCCATATGATTGGTTCTGGGCATGGAATCAGTAGGATCCCTCCAAAAGCTGCGGGCTTGTTCGTGGGTAACCCAACTAAAATGTGAAGAGCGTGTCCTTTGAGTGCTGTCCCAAAGCTCAGAAGCAAAGCTGTGCTGCTCAAAGGTGGCATCAGATCAGAAGGGAGCTGTTGTTGTTGGAGAGGTCTCCATGGTCTCCATTTCTTAGCATGTTTGGTTTACCTTTGACTTTTGTACTTATATAGGGATCGTCATGAACAGAAGCCGATCGAGAATACTGTCGGTATGTCTTGTTGTCAGAGTGTCCTGTTTGAGGTTCAAAAGAGAAAGCAAAGGGCTTTTCCTAGGCTTTTGTTCGCTTAGCCCCCCCCCAAAAAAAACAAAAACACTCCCGCCCATGACAACACTTCGACAAGTTTGGAGAAAAGTGGCAGCTACCACCACATCCCCACACCAGTAGCCACGTAACCACGGCAAGCTAGAGAGTCCAACGAAAATGAGCTGGACCATGGACTCACGACCCCGGAATACTCGACCTTGCGGATCCATCGGGGGGGTTCCCCCCACCCACCCCCCGCCCACCCCTCACAAGTTTTGAGTCCTGAGGGTTCCAGAAGCTCGAGGGTATCGTCACGCATTGGCTGGACGGCATCTGTGGCCTGATCCCGGAGGCCGGCGGCATTGCGACTTGGCCTACGGACGGATCGAGGTCCGGCTCTCGAGTATCAAATTGGGCTACACCTGAGTCACTTGCTCAAAACCCGGGGAGATGAAGCGAGAAAGGCACGATTCGACGATCCCAACCAGAAATCGGTGCGGAGATCCGGCTTGATTCTTTACAAATATGACTCAACGGATCTTGGAATTCCAGGACCCCGAACTCCGAAAGCCCTGCGCCGAGTTCTGCGCCCCAAAACGTGACCGGATCGGATCCGCTGGTTTGTTTCGTGGCAGAAAGAGAGGCGGGGTGTCTGAGGAATGGAATGAACCCGATTTAAATTAAACCATCGGACGGGTGGTTTCCTTTGTTCGGGAATCCCCTGGTTCATTCCATTTCTCATTCCCTTATCGCACTTATCGCAAGGTCCGAGCTTTTGTTTGGCGGTTTAAACCTGTAAGCTACAAAGAGTTCGCCGTCAGTGGTCTGCCAGGAAGAAGGAAATCCCACTCATGAAAGGCCTTGGCTTTCTGAATCAGGGGCTCGGCATCTAGTATCCTTCGGCAGGCTTTGGTAGAGTTGAGGCATCTTATTCTTGGCCCCACCAGCACTTCCTCTTCGCTAAAGTCCGCTGGGATTGGGCGGCGAACAGTGACAACCCGGCACGCCCCTTGTTTTTCCGAGTCCCCTGAAAAGCCGAGTTTTTGTGAGCCCATTTTGGAGCGGGCTCGGCTAGCATGAAACCCATCCCGAAGCCGGGATCCAATAATTCCTTTTTGGCCTTTTGGATGCCTTTGTGTTTCGGAGGGCGAGGGCCGAAGATGGTTGTGTGGTTAGTCACGATGAAACCCAAAAGGGTCACTTTCCTTGAGTTGTTCCTGGTAAGGCACGCCCTTTGAACCCCAGAAGAAGGAATGTAGTCCCTGTTAAAGGGAAGACTTCCAATCTGCGAGAAACGCAGTTTCAGTGTTTTCCGTTTGTTTTCTCTTTAAACCAAACCCAAAAAGCGGCGCCAATCAAAAAAGAAGACACGCCCCTGTGTGCTCCCAGGTGTGCGGCCTGATAACTACCATGGTGAGCAATGGCATTCAGCGCCCTGGGCAAAGATGTTGCTGTGCGACCGGATTGGGTGAAGTAGCCTGCTTGTTAAGTGAACTTAGGGGATTTTGGGGCTACTTTTAAATTCCCCGGAAGTTCACCTCGCGTCCCTTGATTTCGCTGAAAACCACACACTCACGGGCATCAGAAGAAGCAGAGGGCCACCCGCCAACTTTACACCACGAAACCGTGGAGTCGTCAGCTTATACAATTTAACTTGGCCAGAGCTTTAGCTGCAAAAGTTTACCGCACCTTCAGCTACATATATAGGGGGGACGTCTGACATCGGCCGAGGTCGCCCGTGGATCGCGGAAAGGTTTCCCGAATGTCGGCCTACATGTTGTATCGTCGGCCCAACTGTCCCAATGTTGGCCAATGTTGGCCAAAGGTTGCCCCCCCGACCTTCCTTGCGGCCAACGCTGCAATAGACAGGAGCCCGACCGGCGCGGGAAAAACTCACATCTTCAAGGAGCCAGCCACACAGTGCGTATGACCGTCTTCTTTCGACAAAACCTGACACGGCCACGGATTTCCAGAACACAGTTCAAAACGTCCGTACGTTCACGGCAAGTTCAAAGTAAGTTTCCTGCTAGTTGCTTATATGTCCACCCTCTAGAACTGCATAAGTTGCCCAAGTTCTCCGCAACTAACTTATGTGTGAACCCTGAAAATGGGGAACTTGGCTGTCTTGGGGTGAGGAACTTAAATTGTATGTTAGGTTGTAAGTTGGTTGTAGTTAACCTCAACCAGCACGGGCTATCTAGCAGCCGCAGTAGCCCTGTAGCATATCCTGGAGCTCGGACCTCTGCTAGAAACAAATACCCATTTGCGGCTGCGCCGAAGCCTTTCGCAGCAAGATGCATGCTGATGCTCAAATTGGTACGGAGGGGGGTTTTGATGGAGACCCTTTCGGTTTGGTTGAAGGGATACCAAACCCCTATTAAGACACATCTCAAGCGCCGCGCAAGGTTTGCATGGTGGATCCTGCTGAACATGTCCGTGCGTAAGCGAATTCAATGACTATCGCCCCACCCCCAAACCACCACACATGGTCCAAGCATCTCTTGGTCACTATTGTGATCATCGTGACTTTACCCAGTCAGCACCCCACCCGGCACTCGCACCCCACTCCCGACCTTCCCCCACCCCCCCCACAGCGCGTTCTGCTTGGCGCAGCCAAAAGCAAGGCTTGCTGTGCCCAAGTCCAAGTTGTAGTCGGAGCCTTTTTGCACAATTTACTTCAGCCCACTCTTAGCCCCAACCACACTATTTTGAGAAAAGCCTTCCAGGCAAATCGGGCCCACCCCTGAATATACACTAAAAAATCGAGCGCAAGCACCGTGAACACACCAACGTGCCGTGAGAAGCCGTTCATCGAAGCTCTCAATGAGCAGCAACAGGCGTGCACGTCAGAGACGTCGCCAATCACAAAGATGTCGTAGCTATGGCATTGATTCTGTTTGGAACTTGGGCGGGCTACTTTTTCCCAGTACAACCTGACTTTGCTCAATCGCTTTAGGCTTTCTGCTTGTGTGGCAAAATGAGGATAGTTACTTAAAAAAGACAACAACCACATTGTGGTCTTCCTGTAGGTTTCCTTGAAGCCACGATAACGGTACAAACAACACACATACCCATGTGGCTGAGGGAGCACCGCAAGATGCAGAGCCAGTGTGGAGAAGTCCGTAGCACGATCGCCCGTAAAGCGTTTTTCGCGTGGCAGGGATTTTAGTGGGGATTGGGATGTTCACTGGGGGTACGGGCTTTTGACCCATGGCCACATCGCACCAAAGGGCCACTGTAAAGTTTGAGCTTCGTAGCAACAATCCCAAGCGAGGTACATGGCTTGTCTTTGATGTGACCGAATCGCCGTTTAGACCTTTCGGGAACAAACTCTAAATGTTTGTGTTTTCCAGTTCTACAAGATCTTAGACGCTTAGATATTTTACTCGAGGCTTGGAGCAACCCAGCTCATATGCCTGAATCCCGAGGTACATGAGCAATGCCCTCATGAACTTCGGTGTTGAGCTTTCAACGACCTTCCTTACCATGAAGCTCGGCAAGCGCAACGCCATGTCTGTGAAAAATGGATCGAGTTTCACAAGCCATTTTGTGCGGTCGAGGGAATCGCGTTTGATTGCACGCATCTATTTTGGTGAGATCAAGGGAACCCACTGACAAAGTCATGGGCGAGAGGTACGAGACAAACAGCAAATGTACACGTCCATGTTGGCATCCCCACCACGCAGGGCTCGGCTGTGTGTAGCTGAACCCCCGAGTTGTGTGTGTGATGTTATGTTGATTGGTTGCTTTATTGTGTGTTTTGTGTGTTTAGTTGTTTGATTGTTTGGCTGGTGGTTTTGTTTTGAGGTTGTCTGCTTGCTTGTTTGTTTGTTTGTTTGTTTGGGTTGGTCTGAGTTTGGTTGGTTTGGTTGAGTTACATTGGGTTTGTTGGTTTGTAAAGTGAATAATTGCCGTTTTGCCGTATGAAGCTACCTACCTGGGAGGCATTGAAGGGCGGTTGAGGTACGGCTTGTTTTGAGATGGCCCTTGAGGTAATCACGCTTAACTTGCATGAGAAACGGAATGACCCCGATTCAAACCATCCCTCATGGCTTTCCTTGTATGGAGTGCGTTCCCAAAACCCTGGCTCATTCCCGACTGAGCACCAGCAAGTTGTGTGAGGGTCAGAAGGAGACTCGCCTCGCCTTCGGAAGGGTCTGCACGCCGTTTGGGCCGCCACATATTGCATGCGTACGACCGAGGATCGCCAATTCCAGCCCCTTCTTCCGCATGCTGGTGGCCCAAGTTCTGGACAGCGCCCAGACGGCTGTCCAGGACAACATGAACACTGGGAGCAGCGAGAGCCTCGAGAACCCCCCGGAGCAGGATACAGGCCATGGGCAAGAACTGGTCGCTAGATGGACGAAAGCTTTGCGGCTTGGTGTGAACTGTTTCTGTTTGTGGTCTTGGCATGTCAAAAGACAACAGCACGGGCGAAAGGTGTTGCTGCACACAAGAAGCACAAACAAGACCAACACAGCCGGCAGATTTCGCGGGTTCACGGGGGCCGCGTTTGCAGGCAAGTGCCCATGTAGGGCCGGTTGCCCGATGGAGCCCAAGCCCATGCTGAACCAACACAGGCGGAACATGACTTGCGTACTTGTTCTTTTCTGCGCCAATACTCTGGGAAGCAAAAAGGGACTTCTTGTTGGCCCGCGGCAAGGATGCAGACGGGTCCGCGGAAGCTTGAACAATGCCCAATGAAGTGTAAGGAGATTAAAAAACCAAGGTGAACATATTCCGACCATTTTTCCGCCCCCCCCCAGCCGAACCCTGCTGTTTCACCATCATTTTACACATTTTGGTTTCTGTACCCAACCCTGCTGTTTCTGTACCCTTCGTTTCTGCTGGTTGGCTTTTCTGTTTGCTTGGGGGTCGACAAAAACCGGGTCATGGTTCACCGGGTCCTGGTAAGTTGGTACCCTTATTCCAGCCTCCTGGAGGACTTAGTTTTGGCTCCTGGGCTCGCTTTTGCGGACTGCTCGAAGGTCCACCAGAAACGGGTCCCACGGGTTCCACGGGCCAGCGGCCGCCGCCAGGCGCGGTGGAGCACGGGCCAACGGGCGAGGAGCACGCCGTCGCGCAGCTCTCCAACGCGGAGCGCTACGGCTCGAAGCTGCTCCAAGGCGGGGACTTCGGACGACGTCGCTTTGTGTTTTGTTGTTCACTAGGTCCCCCAGCAATTGGTGCCCTTTCTCACCCCTTTTTTGGTTGGGAGGGCTGAAATAGACTAGAGGAAAAAGGGTACCCTTGTTCTAACCTCTCTACTGGAGGACCTAGTTTCAGGTATGGGTGAAAATTAAGAATGTTTGACTTTTGAGGTGTGGGTCAAAATTTAGCCACCAGGACAGGGTTCTGTCATGCCAGCTTTTGACCCACCGCCACTTGGAGGGCTATGTTGAGGGCAGGTGTTTTCGTGTGTGGTCTTCTTTGCTTAGGCCAGTTGTTTTTCCCCAGCTCAAAGTCTTGGGATCTTTGCCCAGAGTCAGATTTCTGGAGTGGTTCAGACAAACCCGGCTGGCTTGGGCACATTTGTTGTGGCCATGGTGGTTCACAACCAATGGTTCCACTTTTGGAATCCATTGAAATCGTGTGTGATGGGGAATAACCTCAGTTGCCCAAGGCGAATCGACCTGATCTAACCTTTTCGTTTTCCAATTTTGGTTCATGTTTGGTCATGGCCCCAAAAGGTAAACCCTTTATTTCTGGGTCCTGGCAAGTGAGGGGCCCCAAAGAAGTTACGACCGGCGGGCCGATTTCTCTTTGCTTACGATCGATTCCTCTTTGCTTACTGTTTCTGCTCTGTCCCGTTCTCTAGTTGTTCGCGCACGGCGTGCGCGGGGCACACACGGCCGCGTGGTCTGTCCGCCGCTATTTCCCAGCTCTCGCGTTGGCCAATTTGTTCTTAAAGTTAGCAGGCACGAGCGCCTGCGGTCGAGAGAGCGGGCTCACGTTGCGGAAGTTCCATCAAGGATCTCCACTGATAGTTGCGATCGCAACGCATGCAGTTTGGACCTTCGTGTTGCTCTTCTTTTTCGTTTTCGGGATCCCAAGGTGTATGTATGCGGTTTCTAACAAACATCATGTATTAATATATTGGTACTACTATAGTGGGCCGGGCTAAAAGTGTCCGCTTCTGGGGCCAAAATTGGTTGCTTTTCAGGGTGGGTCGGTCTGCATTGGAGGGGTGGCGTTTAGGGTGGGGTTGAGGACTGTTCCTTACCGGAGCCATCATGAAAAACCGAGTAGATGAAGGTTGTCCCAGCCATAAATGGGTGCAGATATCCGCCCCTTTTCTTTACATGGTTCTGGGATCACGACCATTTGAACGAAGGTTAGGAAGGGACAGTCCCCGCCAGAAATGGGTGCGGATCTCCGCCTGTGTCCGGGGACTGTCCCCTCCTAACCTGCAGCAAAATGGCGGTATTCCCAGAGCCATGTGAAGAAGTCAGGAAAAGGAAGTAAGGCGGATATCCGCACCCATGACTCAGGTTTCATGAGGGACTACGCCTGGGCGCGCATTGTCTTTGCCGCCGCGGAGCCTGTGCTGGTCAAGGAGCTCGCGCCTGTGATGCACTTGCTCCAGGCGGGCGATGCTCTGGCGGTTTCGGTTTCGGGTGCCGGCGGATTCGGGGTCAGGTGAGCCACAATCAAAACCCGGGTGCATGAAGGTTAGTAAGGGAAAGTCCCAGCCAGAATTAGTTGGCCGCCTTCTTAATTCTTCACATGGTCCTGAGTAGACCATTTTCATACCGGGTTTACGTTGTACTCAGGCAATGTCCGCGCTTGGGGCGTGTGAGGGAAGTTATTAAATTTTGGGGTGTGTGTTTAGCTTTATGCAGAGGTAACCAGCTGACAAAAACAGTGGGTGCACCCCATGGACATTAGGAGTGTGAAACGGGGGGGGGGTTCCCCCATTTTGTTTGTAAAACAAAATAGGGGAACCCCGAAATTTCCCCCCCGCCTTCGCCTTGGAAATTTCACCGCAAAAGCTCCTTCAACAAGGAGATTCCCGATCTCAGATGATTGTCCAGAAGAGAAGGCCCAGTGGTTAAGGCCCGCGGCTTTGTGGCCTTGTGCGATCCATCATGAGCCACCACCCTTCGGCGCAGTGACATGTTCACGCCTGGAAGTCGTAAGCGCTTCGGAAACAATAGCGGCGCTCCGTGCCGTGGTCCTTGAGCGGAAACGTGCTCCTGGAGCGGCTCACGCGCTTACGCCTGAAAGTCGTAAGCGCTCCACCCCATTCAAGCAGGGAGCGTGGTCTCTTTGGCTGTGGGCCGAAGCGCTTGCGACTTCCAGGGAGCCCCTCCAGGAGCACGTTTCCGCTCAAGGACAACGGGACGGAACGCCGCTATTGTCGCCGAAGCGCTTACGACTTTCAGGCGTAAGCACGTCACTGCGCCGAAGGGTGGTGGCTCATGATGGATCGCATGAGGCCGCAAAGCCTTGTTCCACGCGCCTTGCAGCTACGCCCCTTTTGCGGTTAAGGCCTAGGATTGGGTACGTGCTGCGTCTTGACCTTGTGCTTCTCCAACGCTCCTCAAAGGGATTCTTTACTGTTCCTCACATGCTCCTCTAATGCGCATCTACAGGCCAGTCTGATGTGTTTTGTGTGGGAGTTGGTTTCTTACTGTTCGTCACCCCTAAAAACAGGCCGCCATTGTGAAATTGATGTTGGTTTCCCTTGGTTTCCCTGTGAAGCATGCCAAAAAGAGTATCGAGCCGAAACACAAACACGTGCCCGTTTTGGATGCGTGAACTCGTTAAGGCGCCCTGTTAGTTTGACCGTTAGCAAAGTCAGCAGCTGGAGCGGTTTCCCTTTGACCCACGGCTTTCTTGCTTGTTTGATGTTTTTTCTTGGAGGGGAGTAACCCCTCTATCAGCTGCAAACCAAGAGCTGCCCTTTTCAAGGCGACCGACGCATAAACTTGATGTGTTTTGCCACGTCACAGCGGGGGGTTCTTGGATGTGGTTCACTTGGGTTGGAACCAATAATACCCATTAGTTAATCAAACACATGCAATAATATAACAATAATCTTCAATAATCACATTCAATAATCACATACAAAAATCACAACACATACAAAAAAAGCGAAATAAACACAATGTAGCTCAGTTCCTTATGTTTATAGCATGTTGCCCTTTGCGGAATGTTGCCCTTTGTTTTCATTTGACTTCTTTTAGGGGTCCTTGAAGGGGGGTTGGTGAAAGGAGCTCCAGCTGCATATTGGTGGCGGTCGGAAAGTTGCAGTTGTCCAAACCAACTCAATCCATCCAAAACGGGTTACCTGATTTGTTTGGCTGAGCAGGTAATGGCTGAATCGCCGGCTAAGCTGATCCGTGTTGCCCTGGTTTTGTGGACCTGCTGGCGGTCCTTCCATTCACCGACGTTTTTATTGGTTGATTCCCCATTTGTTTAACCAGCGTTCCTTTCAAAATCCACGCATTTTCGCAGGTTGCCTTGCTGTTTTTTCCCAAAAGGATCCCTGGAAAGAATGGGCAAGTTCTTGCTAGGATTTTGGTTCTCTTTCCAATTTTGGCGAAGACAAAACTCATGCATGCGACGGCGGTTTGGGTTTGTTGGGGGGGTTCACCCTTAAAACGTTGGGTCTGTTGTTTTTGTTAGGTTCTTGTTGTTGAACGCTGGTTTTTTGATGAAACCAGAAGGAACGTCATCAGAGTTGGGGGTGGTAACAAATAATGACACCCCCATGTTGCAAATCATGTCAGGGGGCAGCGGGCAAGAGTCGTTCAAGATGTCCATTGCCGTACCCTGAAAACCCAGCCAGTTTGGCTCTCCCACCCACAAATCCTCTTTTTGAGAGCTCTAGAAGAGTGCTACAACTTCCATTTGCTGAAGAACATGTATACATGTATGTGTGATTTTCCCCTGTTGGGTTTTTCAGGGAACCTACACTGGACATATGTTGATGTATTTTTCCAGGGGGCATATCCGCAAATGGAAGACACGAGTGCCGCGTTTTCGGCATGGTGGCCACGGCGGTGTTCCGGCCCCGGCCAGATCATCGTGGGTCAGTTGGCCACGGCCATGGAAACGGAGCTGGCCAGTTGCAAGGAGAAGGTGGTGGCGTTCGCGGGGCTGCTGAAGAAGATGGGCTGAAGGTTTCACTTTTTTCTCATCCCCTCGGCTTGTCCGCTCGGCCGGTTTCACTTAGCCTCCCCTCGGCTTGTCGTGTTGCCACCTTCTCGTTCCTTTTTTACTAGGCTGGTGTAGAGTGGGTGTTTTGCCCATGGTTGTTCAGCTTGGCATTGCCATCTATATTACGTTTTTGCACAGGGTCAATGAATGATAGCATTTCTGGGGTGACCGGAAAACATCATTGGGGCGCGCTTTGGGTGCCATGTAAGTTGCCGCTCTCTGCGATCGGGAAGGTCGCCCGTCGCAGGAAACCAAAGCGCGTTTCGCACGGCTGCCGCTGACGGGTCTACGAGCTCACTGGAAATTCCCAGATCTGGGGTGCCCTTTCTAGGTCCCCCACTACTCCCTTCTCTTCCCTTTGTTGGGGGAGGGTTCCCCTACTAAAATAGACTACAGAAAAAACGGAACCCTTATTCTAACCTCTCTACTGGAGGACCTAGCTTTCCTTTCAACCACTGCAAAAAAGTGCGCCAAAGCCTAAACCACTTTACATCTAACAAGATCAGAATCTATGTTTGCGGACGTATTTTGTTGGGGAGCATGAGAAAAAGCATCAGTGTGTTCTATGACATCAAGGTTGTAAACACCAGAAAGAAAAACCTGAACCACCAGCTCCCCCCATGTTCAGAACTTTCTTTTTTTTGCCCTTGGTTTCGTCTTTCTTCCAGGTCCTGAATCACCGGCTCCCCCATGTTCAGAAACTTTTCAGTTTTTCTATGACATCAAGGTTGTAAATACCAGAAAAACCATAAACCCGACGCCCTAAACCACCAGCTCCCCTCATTTTCATATTTTTTGGTGTTTTCCCCTCCGCCAAGCCCTGAACCACTGCCTCCCCCCATTTTTAGAAGCTTTTTGTGGTTTTCCCCTTGGTTTCCTCTGGTCGTCAGGGCCTCACGGATCCCACGGTGTACCTCACGCTGCCGGCGACCTTCTCGGTGCCGAGCCCCAAGCGCATGACTCTGATGGGGCATGAGGCGAGTGACCGAGGGCGTGCTGCCAGTTGCCGAAATGAGCGTATATATATATATATATATATGTATGGTCACCCCCCCAAGATCTACCTCAGGCCTAAAAACACTGTAAATACCAGTGTTTTGTAGCGCTTTTTAGAAACCAGAATCTGGTCACCCAAAAGGTTGGATTGCTTGATTGATGTTTTAAGCACAAGCATATGTTTTGTTCTCCTTGAAGTGTGAGATGTTTTTGGAGGCAGATGTTATGGTGCACTTCGAGTGATGCTTGGAACCATTTTTTTGTGTTTTGTTGATGCCCTTGCTTCCTTTCATGGATGGTTGAGTGCATTTGGCCTTTTAGCTGAGGAACTGCCAGCAAACCAAAAAAAACTCGATTAAACAAGTACATTAAACATGAGGAGAATCTTTGGTTTGAGACCTTGTTTTTTTTTTGTATTCTCAAGGTTTGTTGGTTTCCCGTGTTTTTTTTTGGTTTTTCAAAAAAACAAAAAGACGGGTGTTTTTTGGTTTTCCACCTAGAAAACCCAAAAACAACACAAAACAAACAACTAGTCTTTGTTTGGTCTTTTGTGGCTGCTGCTTGCCAAAAACCAAAACAGTCTAGGGTTTTTTGGTTTTCTAGGTGGAAAACCAAAATACACCAGTCTTTATTGGTTTTTTACCAGAAAAACCAAAAACACACAGGGAAAACTAAAAAAACTCGAGAAAACCAAAAAACAAAAAGCAGTCTCAAACCAAAGATTATCCTCAGAAGCTTTCCTTTTTTTCTCGTTTTTTCTTTTCGTTTTTTGTTTTCTCGAGTTTTTTTCAGTTTGCTGGCAGAGCCCAAAGGCCAGACAGAAGACATTTGCCTGGGGACTGGGGCAAGTGCTTCCTGGAAGATGCGGCTGCAGCTGCAAGCTCAGCTTTTGGTATCCTGATATGTCCTGCTGGCAGTGCTGGCAGCCTACATCTCCTGCAGGCACCTGAGCATGGCACCTGTGGCCAGCCACATGTTCTGCCCTTTGTGCCAGTATTCGAACTGCGCAGACCTTAGCTTGCACGTCATAGCTGGGTTCGCGATGCTTCAAGTGTGCCCGCAGGCCCCCAGAAGCGGTCAATGATTTGCGTACCGCTTTTCACGGATAGCTGACCCCCGTCTAAGCTTGAGGTGGTAGGATTGAAGCCATCCGACTGGTGGCTTCCGGTTCATTCCCAACACCCGGAAGGGCATTCCTATATCGCCGCAAGCTGGGATGAAATCCGAAGACTCTGCCGATTTCGTGGCGAGCTCACCTACGCCCAAGTGCGCCGGTTGAAAGACGATGGATGAGTTCTATGTCTCGCACGGGCAATGAATTTCGTTCTAGCGGTAGCTTCCCCATTCTTTTCAGGGATCCTTCTTTCTACAAAACCACCAATAACCCCGGGGCAATGGCTGGTTATCTAAAAAAACGATGGCTGAAAAAAATGGGAAAGGAATCAACCCCTAGAAAAACCAAAATCCAGGTCAGTCCAAATCCCTAGAATCAACCCCTAGAATCTTGGTTGAAATCCGTTGGCAGTGAGGGATTTGAAATCCCTTGGCCCGAGCTGATAGGAAGCTCTGTGTCCTCGGATCGGACATTTCCACAAGGTGATTTGAATTTCAATTGAACCGCCTCAAAAGTGGGTGGTGGACATGAAGGTCACCTAAATGATGTCCAGCAATTGGTGCCTAGTGATAAATCATATACATATCTGCAGAATCGAATAATATCTTTTACTGCGTTGGTTCAAATTTGCCTGGATTTGCCGACTGTCTGTTGCCGCATCCTCCTGATTCCACTTTGCCCCTGTTCTGTTGATCCCTGATCAACACCCCCCCACAAGTTTTACTCTTGAAGAAAGGAGCCCGGTTTCTACTCGGCGATTTCGCCAAGAAAGGAGGCCCCACCAAAAAAGTAGCATCACTCAAGTTTTTACATTGCCACGATTCCATTTCATAGCAGTTCCCTTGCCCCTCTTTGAGAGTGCCAGCCCCGATTGAGCTGAATTTCCCTTAAAAGGCAGCGGTAAGGGAGGGGCTGCCTTAGCTTCAATTTTCGTTGTTGGATTTAGGGCATAGGTGTCCGTTTCAGGTTAGTTTGGTTAAACATAGATGGCGCTTGTTTAGATGGGGTTTACTCCATTTTCCAGGGCATCTATTTTGCCAACCGGCCACCTATGATGTTTGTTCGGGGGGGCTTCATGCAATTTGTTTTGGTTGGGGAAGGCGACTTTCATATCGGGGAGTCCACATTCCCATGACCCACGGCCTGTGGGGACTAAATCCTTCGGTGGCGCCAAATTCCTTGATAGTTTGAGGGAATTCCTGCAATTGTTGGTTTCGACCACTCTTTCTCTGCTTGATGGAATCTCTGCCATTGTTGGTTTCGACAACTCTTTGTTTGTTTAATTGTCGGTTTCGACAAATCTGTGTTTCTTCGCAAGAAGCTCTGCAATTGTTGGTTTCGACTCTTTGTTTGTTTGAGGGAAGCCGTGTAATTGTCGGTTTCAACAACTTGTTGTTCGTTTGAGGAAAGCGCTGCAAATGTTGGTTTTGAAAGCATTTATTTCTTTGGCGGAAGCCCTGCACTTGGTTTCGACAACTCTGTACTTGTTTGCCGGAAGGAGGCGCGATTCACAAATGTACCCACAAAAAGAAGTGTTTCTGCGAGTCGAAGACATAGGGGGCCTGTTGTCAGGTCCCGTTGCCTTTGCTGCTTAGGTAAAACCCGGAAAGTGGCAAGCAAGTGGCAGCCAGAAGAACATGTTTGCTCTTCGTGAAGCCATGTTCACTACCAGGCCTTCTTTTCCCGCAGGATAGTCTCCAAAGCGGGTTCCCCCCCAAAAAAGAAGGCTCAGGAGCCGTTTTCCCTTTAAGCAGAACTTTGCTCGAAAGTTTGACCCCCTTTTAGATACCTGGCATCTCCTCCTTTTATGGCCAAATGGTGGTTTTCCTTTTGGCGTCCATCTAAAACCATCCAACCAAGTGGACCCTGAAGAAAAGGACCTTCCCAAGATTTCTTCGTTCAACGTAATTCCGCCAAAGGACACTTAAATTGAATTTGCCAACAAGGTGATGTCTAACATTTCCGAACAGGGAATTGTGGGAAACTTTGCTCCTCACCCCTTAAACATGTGGTATCTCCAAAAGTAGAAGGGTCTGAACCTGCATCTGCTCAGGTTCAAAGAGCCCAGGTGAGTGAAACAGGGTCCGTCAAAGGCTAGACTTAGAAGCTACCTGGTCTATGTAGAAACCCTTCGACACGGCCGGTATAGGTGGTTTTGCATCTGGCCAAAATGTATCCTTTAGGGAATTGTGAGAAAGACACATTTGGGTTGGCAGGCCACAGAGTGCGACGGCGTGTTTCCGGAGTCTGCGATGGTGGGGGATGTCACTGTGGGTCTTTTGCGAGGCAGGATTGATTTCCTTTCCAACAGGCCTAGCTTGGGTCAAGATGTGCCATCCATGTGGGGCAGGGGGAGCTCTAAACTTCCAAATCTCCCATAAAGACTGGAAGAAGTAATTTTGACCCTGGCTCATTTGGATGTTGGGGACCCTTCCTGGTGGTTGCTCTCCTTTTAAGGCTTCCGGGTAAAACCATCCAATGAATTCCCCACGGACCCATATGGCCTCTTACGCCAACCATGACCCTTGGCTCGCGATGGGCACAGAGCTGTGTGTTTGGATCTTCCAGACGTACATAAACTACCCTCACTCCCACTAACACGGCGCCTGACAGGGATCCCTACGAGAGGAACATGATCTTCCAGGTACCCTCTCACAGGTGCTATGTTAGTGGAAGGGAGGGTAACTGTCTCAAGATGGGAAAGCCGTGCGTGAGTTGGTTTTCTCTCCGCTGGCTTTCCGAGTCCGCAAGCCGATGCTGGGTTTGGCCACTGGCCATGTTATCACCCGTCGCAGGCCCTCTGCGGTTTTCAGAGGAGACCTTGCCGGGCAGAAAGGGGTTGGAGAGAAAG